TGAAGCATCGTATTATTCGCGGGAGCCAAATTACACGCTTCGACAATGCGTCTACATTGCGAACAGTGCGCCACGATCGACCCTGACAATGACGGTTACTGACCCCGCGAACCGGTTGCGAGCCGTGCCTCGCATTGCGCGACGTTTGGAGTTGCACGCACACCGATTGAAACCCGTTTGCCTTTCCGATCGTGCTTCATCACAACGTTGCCACCTGTCATCGTAAATGCACTCAAGCTAAAGATATCTGCGAGATATTGCTCTATTGTGTTCGTAAACGTCAGTTTCAGTATCTATTCTAAATTAATACTACAACCACTTGCACAGGGGCCAGATTTTTGTAAATCGGAGAGCTATTTTTTTTCTCTGAAAATGAAGTGTAATAAGAACTACGTTTTCTTTTTCAAATCGTGGTCTAGTATAGTCTTCAAAATTTCTTAAAGAATTTATAAAGCGCGATTCATTACGCGCGATGACTAGACAGCTTGTACGGTATTTTGCAACGGTGTATATTTTGCAGCGCACTTTTTATTTGTCGCATAAATTGTAAAGCTCCGAGAGGGAAAGAGAGAGAGACAGAGAGAGGAGTGTCGATACTCGTAGCGGCGGCGCCATAAGGCGAACGTTGTTCGGTCTGCGATTCGTAAAATTTACAAAGGCGAACGTGTTGCCTTAACCGAGGTTCCCGCAACACGCGGTCATTTGCAATTTACAATCTACAGAAATTGCATAAATCGCCTTGCGATATTGGCTACGCCATCTGCTGCTCGCCGTTTTTCGTCCTATTTTCCGTGACAGCGGGTTTCATCGTCCGTATCGTATCACGGGGAGAAGATGCAATAATGCAGTCGGTAGTTGAAGAGCTGACAAATTTCGTCATCGCTGCATCTCCGTCGGCGTGCCCATCGAGCGATACTCCCGCGCTAAGGTACTACACGCGCGCATCTCAAAGCGGCTAACAAATCACCAAAAAATTAGTCGATTCGAGTGCCATGCACACGTGGCTATTAAGCAGCGGATATCGATTCTTATAAGCTGAAATTTGACGAGCGTTTCACACAGAACTTATATATTTTTCCTCTTAAATGCAAAGATATCGCGGCAACCTACGTTTAAAAAATCTTTTTAATGAATAAGGAAATCGACTCCCGTTTCATAATTTATATACTTTTATTTCTAAGCAAAAATAATTCCACCTTAAATCATCATTCTCTATGAGATTCTACCTCTCTATGTAAAAATGTCTCATTTATCTCGTTCAGTTTCAGTTAATTAACTTATTTTATATTACGGAACGTTTTTACAAAGCAACAGATTGTGCTTACGTTGTAAAAATATCACGTAAATTGCGTGTAAAACCTCACCGTACTCCACGTGATATAATCATCTTTTGAATAGAATTTTCCTCGCTTGACTGATTCGTTAGTTATCCCCATTATGCATAGGTAAAGCTCAATTACGCACGCCAATTAACTGCACATACGGTAATGCTGGCCGAAAGAGAGAGAGAAAGAGAAACGAAGGTACGGAGGTGCCTTACTATACGTCTATTTCTACTTTCTCGCGATGAAAATAGTCAACGCTGCGTGTCTACGGCGGAATCGGGACCAGCTGCAAAAGGTCGGGCTGCAAGTCAGATCTGTTAACAGGTGATCCGTCACTATCACCGCGCTCTGGCGGTCTACTTTTCGAGCAAGATGGTCCGCGTGCCATCCAAGGTTGGCTTGCGTAACGGACCGGTAATTTCCAGGCTGCCGCGCGCGGCGCCTTCCCATTAATTCTTACATTTTTCACACGGCCATCGCCTTGCTGTTACACCAAATAAGTGCAAGCGAGACCGTGCGCGGGATACATATATTTCACGGGACCTTCTCGTGGCGCGCTGACGAAACGGTACTCGCGTTTCGTCGTGGACTCATCCATTATGTATTCATGAAAAGTGACTCATAATGTATTACGTTATACATTTTCAATTTGCATCGCGCTTTTATTTTGTAGCCCTTTGATTATTTCTTAATGCCCCAGAAAGAAAGAGATTTATCTTCGGCTTACACCGTCACGTTTCTTTATCAGAAAATGTTTTTGATATTTTATGGAAAAATAGAGGATATTTTGAAGAACGTGCAGTTATAAGATTTAATTATATTAATAATTATACAGTTCTTGGCAATAATAATTACTAAAAATTACATTTTCCAGTCAATATTATATAATTAAAGTTAATCGAAAATTTGATAATTCTTCATTCAATTTTCGTTCTAAATTACATATTAAAGAAATGGATTTTTCGGTAGCGATAAAAACAAGTTCGTGCAATTTAATATTTAATTGAGATAAAAACTTGCATCTTGGAACCACGACGGATACGGGAGACTTTTTCGTGTCTCGTTTTCGTTATCAAGTCATTTACACTGCAAAATGATTACTGCATGTGCAATGCTATACGCAGTGCGTTTAAATATATGCAACAGCGCACACAAATTACGTTCCTAATTTGCACGCGTTGTTAATTAGCCATTGACCTTTGTTATCTTGCCCGAAGCTAGCCGTTTTCCAGACCAAAGTTTAATTGGCTTTGCGTATAACTCCTTTCATTACAACCTGCAGCAGCAGGCGTCTGATTATTCGCGCGATACTACTAAACCGGCTGGAATTGCCTGTACTCTGTTACTGCGAGAGTACACAACGATCCCGACGCATATCCCGCGGTTTACGTGCGCCTATTTCCATTGCACCTGATACCCCGCGCGCTATGATTAAGTGTCATTTCTCTCTCTCTCTCTCTCTCTCTCTCTCTCTCTCTCGATGGAATGACGGCGCGGCGCGTCACTGTAACAATTCAACGAGAGTGATGTGAATAGCAGGATGAGGTATTTCGTACGACCCAGTTAGCTATGTCAGACAATTTAAGACGCGTGAACGAACCGCAGCAGCGGGTACTCTCGCAACTCGTTTATCTAATGTAACGTCACTGCCATGGGAATCCGCAAAATCATTTGCCCGTCGAATGACTCGGCTCGACTTGACTCGCGCCTCGGCTCGCGTCTCTCGAAGAAGACAAGAGACGGCGCGCGGTTGCGAAATACACGCAACTATAAATCGCGAAACGATGATCGCACGTAGCCCGCGCTGCATATATACGAATTTATGTAACCTCCCTCCGACGCGAACAATTTGAAATGACTAATTATAGTAATGAGGGGAAAGGGAAAGGCAATATGTAGTAACGTGCGCGTGTGTGTTGCCCGTCTCGCGTCGGGTTTCAGTAACCCCGCGGGACCTATAGTGAATAGAGACAACATAATTCTTGCAAAGGTGTTTCCTTTATTTCGCGCATAAAATATACATAATGGCATCCCACGTAGGAGTCTCAAACCATTGTTATAAAAATATAGGTATATGTATATATAATTATGTCATGCGTTGCTTAACTATATATATATATATATATGACAATGATATGCTCTTCAAAAGAAATTGGGCTCTTACTACTTTGTTATTTTGTCGCGTGACAATTAGATTACTATTTTATAAACGATAATTGCTTCCACTTTAAAGACATGACGCCCGAAGTACTCATGAAGTTATTGAAGACATTCTTGTCAAAGGTATACTTGTCACTGGTTTTTTTTTACGTGTTATAATTTATGAATTATTTACTATTACAATCCTACAAATATAAATTTGCAACTCGAAGAAAATATGTCGCAGAGATTGTTAAAAATTGTATCCTGCACGTTTTACAATCAATCGTATATTGCGTTTGATAAATATAATAATTAACTGTATTAAAAGTGTTATTATATATGACACTCGTAAGGCAAGGTTGTCTTAAAATATAAAACCGTGCACCTCGTTACGCTTTCACGTGCTCGATTACATTTAATTGATAAATTCTTATTTCTAATCATACAAACATCTAAGTGCTGATGACATCCGCATGACGTCCGATTCATCTCTTTTGATAATAGAAGATCGTAAGTGATATGGTCCATATTTTTATTAAAGCTGAATAAATAAATACGCGTTTTAACACTTACAAGCTGCATGTATTTCATCAACGTTTTCGGCTGGTTACGACATAAAATAAGATCAGATTGCAATAATAATTATAATTTTAATAATAATCATGTAACTATCGCGTATTGATAATCAATAATATCAATATTATTAATAATAATTTGAATTATTTTGGCTTCTACAACATATAGGCATACGGGATTAAAAATCTAACATTTATTTAATAATAATATAAAATATGCTTCATTCTTCTAATTTAATTAGTAAAACGTGATTGGACGATGATGAATACAACCAGCATACAAGTCTTAATATTATTCACTCATGATTTCATCATGAAGTTTCCGTTAAATATTTCTTGATGCAATTTAACATCAAACATTTTTGAATAGATTAATCTATGATTTATTAATTATTTTAATATATTAATAGATGGCAAATAGATCTGAAAAACGAATTATATTGTAATTTAATAAAACCATTCCATCCGTCTTTTTATATCTCTTTTTATACACTTTATTAATAACTGTTCAAACGCACACTAAAAATCTTAATGTTTGAATTTTTATAATTTGGTAAAATAGTATCTTTTATATTTTTAATTTTTAAAATGTTTTATAAAATATAAATATAAAATAAAAAAATATTTTATATTATGTGTTTTGTAATATAAACATTAATAATATTTAAATATATATATATATTTTTTTCGTATAAATATATTTTACTAGTAAAGCTCAGAAAAATACACATAAGCGACGATAAAAATTGCATCAATTATATGTATATGTGGAAACCTCAGAAAGGATGAGTAAATTATTAAACAGAATAATCGAATTTCCTATATGTAAAAGTGAATGCAATACGAATAATCAATATCACTTAGATTACGCGTATAGAGGCTTGTATTTACACGTATCATTCGGCATTAACGGTGGGAATTGTCGTCAGATGCCGATTGTAAGTTTCGCTTTATATTTTTATCCAATCCGCGGCGGCAAGTACTCACGATCTGGTTTCGCAGGGCCTTGCGGCGGGAACGGCGCACCCGTCTCAGGTCTCCCAGGAATACCTCCTGGCCCAGAAGGCCCACTTGGGAACGATGGGCCGCTCGGTCTACCGCTAGGATATCCATTTTGACCATTAAATTCTTGCGGACGACCATTCTGTGCACCCGGGAAACCTCAGAAAAGATGAGTAAATGGTTAAACAGGATAATCGAATTTCCTGTATGTAAAAAAAGTGAATGCAATACGAATAATCAATATCACTTAGATTACGCGTATAGAGGCTTGTATTTACACGTCTCATTTGGCATTAACAGTGAGAGTTATCGTCAGATGTCGATTGTAAGTTCCGCTTTATATTTTTAACCAATCCGCGGCGGCAAGTACTCACGATCTGGTTTCGCAGGGCCTTGCGGCGGGAACGGCGCACCCGTCTCAGGTTTCCCAGGAATACCTCCTGGCCCAGAAGGTCCACTTGGGAACGATGGGCCGCTTGGTCTACCGCTAGGATATCCATTTGGACCACTAGGTCCTTGTGGACGATCACCCGGTGCACCCGGGAAGCGGCTTGGACCTTGTGGAGCAGTGGGCCCTTGAGGTTGTCCTGGATAGCCTGGAGATGGTCCACCCGGTCCTGGGTAACCCGGACCACTAGGCCCTTGAGGTCTCATCGATGGTACAGAAGGACCGGAAGGTCCTTCAGGTCTTCCGGGATATCCGGGTCCGCCTGGTCCTGATGGCGGACCTAAATATGCGGGTCCTGGACCGGATGGAGCTCCTGGTCGTCCAGGAATACTGCTCGGACCGCTCGGACCTGTTGGTCCTTGCGGACTACCCGGATAACCGCTTGGTCCTGACGGACCTTGAGGTTCTCCGGGATAACCTGGGCCGCCAGGACGTTGTGGACTGCTCGGATAACTTGGTCCACTAGGAGCGCCTGGAACTCCTGGATAAGTACTAGGTCCAGAAGGTCCTTGACTTCCCATTATAGTATAGTCATAAATATTTTCATTTAAATAGTAAAGACTTGGTGCGGAGTTGCAGTCGAATTGATTCCACCATACACAAACGAAAAATTGTTGATGGAAAATTGTTCCATTCGGACAAAGGAAATCAAAAGTCTTATTGTTGGCACATACATGAAAAACTTGGCACTGGGCTTCCACGTCGGCGTAGTAACCAGGGAATTGTTGGGCATCGCAACGGAAACCGGTCTCCAGAATTTCACTGTAGATAGGATAATCGCGACCAGGCTCGCCCGGAATAGCTGAATAATCACCTTCGTTATATGATCCATCATCTTCATGCGTGTATTCTCCAGGTCCGCCAGGACCTACCGGATGCCCAGTACCCGGGAATCCTCCTGGCCCTTGCGTTTCTGGTCCACCAGGGAATCCCCCTGGCCCTTGCGTTCCTGGTCCACCAGGGAATCCCCCTGGCCCTTGTGGGCCTGGTCCACCAGGGAATCCCCCTGGCCCTTGTGGGCCTGGTCCACCAGGGAATCCCCCTGGCCCTTGTGGGCCTGGTCCACCAGGGAGTCCTCCTGGCCCTTGTGGACCTGGGCCGCTTGGATAACCTGGTCCTTGCGGGCCTGGGCCACTCGGGTAGCCTCCTGGTCTTTGCGCTCCTGGTCTACCACTAGGATAGCCGGTAGATGGTCCACCTTGCTGACTTCCAGGAAAACCGTTTGTTCCTCCTGTTCCTGGATATCCGCCTGGTCCCTGAGGACCACCGCCAGGTCTTTGAGTACCTCCAGGATAACCAGGTCCTGGCCCTCCACTAGGATATCCAGTTCCCGGACCACTAGGCTTTTGTGCTCCACCGGGATAACCTCCAGGAGCTTGTCCACCGGGATATCCTCCGTTTGGTCCTTGTTCACCTGGCCGACCACTGGGATATCCAGGGCCTTCTGGTTTTCCCTGACCGGGTCCACCGCTCGGGTATCCGGAAGGTCTTTGTCCTGGAAACCCACCCGGTGCTTGCCCACCAGGTCTGCCACTAGGATATCCACCGCTTGGCCCTGTTGGAAACCCCTCTGGTCGTCCACCTGGTCCACTTGGCGTGCCACCGGGACCTGTTCCTGGTCTTCCCGTTGGTTCGCCACTCGGAAATGGAATGGATGGTCGTCCACTAGGATATCCTCCGGAAGGTCCTTGACCCGATGGAAAGCTAGGCTGTTGCCCCCCTGGTTGAGCACCGCTTGGGCGAAATCCTGATGGTCCTGATGGATAACCCCCTGGTCTTCCAGGTTGTCCACCAGGAATTCCCGGTCCTCCAGGTGCACCGCCCGGTGCACTTGGACCACTTGGACCAGACGGATATCCTCCAGGGGCGCTTGGAAATCCTCCTGGTTTTGTGCCGGTTCCTCCGCCTGAAGTACCTGGTATAAGCTGATTTGTCGGCCTAGGATATTCATATCCCTCGTCTTGAGCCTGTAATTTTAAAATTATGACGTATAGAGAATGTCAACTAAATCATAATAGAATCGTAATTTGAAAGATGTAATTTTTTGCGAAGAAACAAGAAAAAATATAGAATAACAATTAATATAGATATAATTTTTTTTTAGTAAAAAATCTATTTAAAAGAAATCAATCTTATTATTAAGATATTTAATGCTGAAGTTAAATAATATTTTAATCAATAATAATGACGCAAATGATATTTACTTATATATAATTCGATTTAAATATGTTTACTATATTTGGTACCGCTTTCGTTGAGATCACGGTACCCTTGAACGATTAATTATATCAGATTTATAGATTCCGACATCGTTAGAATCGTGCTCATAGAAGAGTCGAAGGAGCGTCTTCTCGTATTCTCGATCATTGTGAATCATTGTGAAGTTACAACAGTTACAGTCACGACCGATTAATATGAGAGTGCTTAAACTTGCGCAACCGAAAATGCTATTTCATAAGGTGGGAAAGAAGAAGTAAAGATGTGTTGATCGTGAAAAATTAAAATGACTGCATCGCGCTGATTTATACCGATTTTAATCTACCGCCTTTCTGATGTAGATTAAAGAAGGTAAAAACAGCTTAGTTTTACAAATAAATTGACCGAAAAAAAACACGTGAATTACGTTAGTAGGTATCTTAAGTTTTCTTTATAACATAATCTGTGCCTAAGAATTACTTACCAGAGCTGTACGAGTGACAGCCAGCAAGACTGAAACAAATACAAACAAGAGCGTAGTATTATTTTTGGTCAAGTACCTTGACAAATTGCGCTTTCTTAGTTCGACGCAATCGTTACAACAAGCTCGTTACAAATCCATCAACGAATGAATTCTTATTATGACATCAATTATCCCGAGTGCTAACAGCCGTGTGCCACCGACGCCGCCTCCAGTAACCGCCGCAACTCGTCGCGATGACGAGAGGTTGCGTGTGAGTCTCACAGAAGAGAAATGTGTCTTGAAAAATCTCTGACATAACTTCCCGTCTAATTAATTAAGCAGCATTGTCGAGCGCGCTTAGAGTGTAGGCACGGAGAAGCTGCGGCTTCTTCGCACGCTTGGTCGTACGTAAATCGCATCAAAAAAAAAAAAAAGGAAAAAAAAATGAGGGGTAAACGCAGAAGAAAAAATCGCACGTGCAGGAGAGAGAGAGAGAGAGAGAGAGAGAGAGAGAGAGAGAGAGAGAAGGAGAAGCGAAGCAGTATACGAACCAGCTGCAGGAGTGCGTGTTGTGTGTTACACGCGAGAATTGTGAAGACCGTGCGCGTTTTCGCAATGACACCGTCATGCCGGTTCGCGGATCACGCAAGCTACTTGTTAAGCAGATACAGAACTCTGGTTCTTGGGCATGCGAGAAGATCCAGATGGTGATCTCTCTCAAGCTCTATGGAGTTGACGTTTCTCAAACAATAGTTGTTTATTTCGATTACATATATAGAAAACGCGCACGTGCGATCAGAAGCTTCTTTGCTTTTTAAATTTCTACTACGTCTCGTTTGTAAATAAAGTATGCTCAATTAAAATATCGCTTAATTTCTCGCAACATATAATGACACCAATATAGATGACTATTAAAAATGAATATTATTATATGCAAGTAGTAAAATGATATATGAAAATATAATTTATTAACTTTTTCCGATTTTGCCGTGATGAATATTTTCTGTAATCATTCTTAATGAATAACTGTAATTATTAAATGACCTAAACGTCAATACCCCCAAGTGCTGACGTTGATAAATTAAGATTTAAATGTGACTTTATTTTGACGCGGACTAATAGATGTAACTTAAAAAATACGATTGACATGACCTTTGCGGCTCAAATAAGATCGCTGTTCACAGCAGGAGTAGTCATAAGTAATCTAGAAAATTACTTTTTATCGCGATAAATACAAATTTTGTTTCCGTACCCAATAATTTATCAATTGAGATTTAATTTTGAATTTGTTTCACATTTTTTATTGTTTATAAAATTAAATTAATTTTGTGTCAACAGAAGTAAAATTGTAATAAAAGACAGTTTAGGAGAGAGATTATCCAATATCTAAGATTATCCAATTCATTAATTCATAAATCTTACGTTAAATTGCTAATAAAATTTTATTTCAAAATCAATTATGCGTAGAAATATAAATGGCAAATTTTACGCGATGCTTTCTCTCCAGTTATTTCCGGTTTCAATGGGCTGTAAATGAATTATTAAACACAACTAAAAGCACACAAGAAATTGTTTGAATAGTTATGATCGTCGTGTGCGACATGCGGAAAGATGGAATCTTTTTCCATACTTAAATGCATGTATTAACAACTTTGCAGACGATTTTTCTCTCCTTCACTCTCCATTCGTTATTTATTTCCACACCGCGCATAATTCGGCCAAAAGACTATTTCAAGCAACAATATCGCAGTACCATTATTCGTACATCTTCCTGTTGTCGGTTGATAGCCTCGGTTTTGGTTACCTCGAAACAATGGGGCGGAGATCAAGATGCGGGCGAAACCTCGCGTGATCTACGAAGATAATCCGAGCACGATACTCGATGCATCGTTCGAGAGGATCTTTGACCGTTACGTGGTTACACTAGTGTTGCACGATCGTCAGAGTATTGACGTAACTTGCCCGAAGGGAAGCCGTAGCGGAAACGGCTTAATCCGTCTTCGGCTGTTTCTTCGAACTCCGAATTTGTCTTATCTGGCATCTCCGCCCGAAATAGTAGTATCACGTTTGTCTCGTATCAAAGTTAGGCAGTTAAAATCTCAGTTAAATGATAGCACATTGAAATCTCAATTTTAATTTACCTTCGTTAAATCTTTATGAATTACAGGTACTATAATTCAACTATAAGAAAACTGCAGCGATAACTCATACTTCATAATTTGACTTTAAAATTAGAAAAGTTTGGCTTGTTTCCGAATTATTCTTCGTCTTTTCTTTGGCTTTCCAAACGGCTCGCCTTTTTCGTAGATTTACGATCTTGAACGGCGCCTGTTTTTGCTTGTTTTTTTTTTTTTGAGATTCGTAAGAAGCAAAGCGATAGAAGTTGCGCTAACACGGTACGCTGCATACACTTGACCTTTATGTTAAGTGCGGATGATCGTAAGCGTAAAGGGTGACCCCGTAATACGTAAAAGTGCGTCGGAACAATACCAGCCCACGGCGCGCTGGCTTATCTCTAATTCGTTTTAATTAGAGGATGTTACGAAAAGATATCGTAGACCTTGCGTGAAGGTTCCGTCGAAATTTAAGTCTTGTTTAAACCGTAATGTCATAACCGAGTTGTAGCAGACATACTTAGTATGACAGTTTTCCATTAAATATTATTTGATAAAACATTCGTTTCAAGAAATAAAATTTTTTTATAATAACTCATACTTAACACAGATTAGCACATTTTCTAGTGTCACCGATAAATTATACATATGCCAAATATTTGTTTGCTTATAATTTGTTTTTATAGTCCTTTATAGTAAATTGCACATAGAAAAAGAAAATTTAATAAAAGTTAAATATTATTCTTAATTCATACAAAAATATCTCGAAGACAGGCTCTACTTCTTGTTATTATTGAATATGTGAAATTGCCTGTAAAACGTATTTATTAGACAATTTTCATTCTATCACGTACGCGACTGTGATGATCGATCATGAAGTTTCCCTCTCTTTTTATATCTTTCTGCTGTGATTTGCAGTCGTCACGCAGACAAGGGACATTGTCAAAGAATGCCAGGCCGATTGCGTGGCGCTTAATGGCGCATATGTGAGAACTTATACGGCACGATAATTCGATGAACGGAAGGCGAAGTTGGTGTAGGATTGCTTAACAATTGCTTGGAGACTTTTCATCTCCTTCGATTATCGAGACGAAGGTTATACTTGACGTTGGGAGTTGGGACACGTCACAAATTGCGAACTTTCTTTTCTCTGTCCACGACATTGCAATCTCTCTGCTAATCTTTCTGTTTTCTCCGGAGGAAAACCGACGGATATTGCCGCGGTGATTTCTTGCGTCGCTTTTTTGTCAGCCTCTTCCCATGTGCTTATTTGATGGCATGCTAACGTAACAACCCGATTACCACATTAGATGATTACAGGAGGTGAAGTCATGCGACGCGAACCCAATATCTCGAATCAATGTCACTTTTGTCTTACCGATCCAGAGCAAGCGTAGCCGCATGTTTGCTGGCGCGGGCACCCTCAAGGAGTGGGCGAGTCTGAAAAGATAATGCAATTATCGATTGATCTGTTCCACGCACAAGTAGTTAGTATGTAGAGATGTTTGAGAAGATAAACATTACATTGAACGTAGAGAACAACCCGCAGTGATTTGCAATAATTTTATTCCAAAAATTATGATCTATCTATATTTTATTTGAGATATGTCTTGCTATGAAAATGTAATTACTTTTGCTAAGATACGCATAACGTTTCTATAAAAAATATGTACTTTTACATTATAAAATCATACTTCTTATAAAAATAAATTTTTTTTTTATGTATTTCATTATTTGTTGCTAAAAATTTACTTTGTTCAAATATACACAATATTTCTATGTTAAAAATGCTTTTAAATCATAAAATATTTTTATATGCTTTTATATGCTATTAAATAATGAACAAATAATTAAAAAATAAAAAGATAATGGAATTTTACATTTACATGCTTCATTTTGACACGAAAATTAAATCAATACTAAATATGTAACAAAGGTCCAAAGAATTATAATTAATATTCTTTGTAATATAATTCTGTTTTGTTTTTAATATAAAAATTTTGTTAAAACCTTAAATGTGTATACAAATTTAATGTATTAGCAAAAAGAGAAAATTTAGATGTTCTATGTTTTATTTCACTATATAAATTTACCCAATAAATTTTTGTATATTAACTTGATTAAGCACAAGCGCTCTGCTATTGCAACTTACGTCGCCCATTTCTGTACACGAAGGGTTAGCGTATCAAACATATTTACAAGAAAATGGAACTTCAATATACGCTCGAATGGAAATCACTGACCGTGTTGCTTTAATACACTGCGTTCGTTCCTCGTTCGATCCCCGAGCATTGCGCACGGAAGTTCGGGACCTTCGTCTGGTCATTCGTGCGTGTTATCGGTGCCACGTTGGGACACGCGCGCACAGATGCATTAGAGAGGAAAAATGTAATAACGAACGATCGGTTTTCAGGGGGAGGCGAACACTGGTCGAAAACGTAAAAAAAAAGGATCCGATTCGTGCGACAGACGCAGAGAATTCGCAGAGTCGAGGCAGCGGGCAAAAAGCGCGATCGTGGGTGCCATTAGGGGGATGAAGTGGTGTCGTGGACTCACCCAACCGATCCGTACAAAACACACCGCAGTGCTGAGGTAAGTCAAGACAGTGACTGATGGTGGAAGTAACTTCATCGGCATATATATCCTTGGGTAGCACCCCGAGTGTACTGATACGCCCCCACCAGGGATGAGCCCCGACGCTCATCCTTCGACCTCCTCCAGATCGAGCCCCCTTTTTTCCTTTCAGTTCCTCGGGATGCAAGGTGGGGAAGCACGCGAAACCGCGGATGGTGATGGGATTCTTTCGCGTGGGGCGTCTGTACTTTTGAAAATCGTAGGAGAGAGACGTGGATATATTGCTTCCGCACTGACTTCTTATTCGTCAAATTTTAAGAGATACATAAAACCTGTGTTGCAATTACAAAATAACTTACTCAGATAATTTCTGCATTAATAACAATCGTTTTAGGAGAATAATCTAAATATCTTGAATATACGATATTTCATATTAATAAACAATATTGTAAATACTTTTCATACACATATTTTAATAATAATTTATATATAAATATTTAATATGATATGTATTTTATATAATCTCTCCCATGTATGTGGAAGATTCATCTCATAAAATAAAGTAGGAACCGTGCGTCTAAAAGTAAGAGTGTCGGATGGAGAGAAGGGGTATCTGGACCTCTTCGACCCCGGGTGATTACCTAAAGTAAATATCGACAGGTTGGGCCCGAAATAGCAGGAACGGGATCTAGCGCGGGCCCATTACTAACCATAAGCGGTGCGCTATCCGTGGAACGACCTCACGACGTAAGTGACCCGCTGCGGGGCCGAAGGAGGCCTCCTCCAGAGGGGGGGTCCTGACGGGGGATCTCGCGGAGATGAGCAGCTCGTGGGAGGCCGGGGTTAGTGAAAGTGAAATACTGCAAGTAGAGTAACGTCTACCGGAGTGCTGTGTATTTCGCGCTGCTCTAGTCGATGGCGAGGATCGCCTTGGAGAAGGAAGATCGCGAGGATGTTTCTGCATCTCGATCTACGTGTATTTAGATAGACGCTACTGCAGCGTTTACCCTTTGCTTGTTAAAGTACGGACAGAATTTACGTCACCTTTTATTAGCAAATATAAATGAACAGAACAAGCAAGAGAAATTATTAATAAAAAGGAACATTTCTTTTTTTGTTTCTAATAAATAGTTTTACATAAATTTGTGATAAAAAGATTAGAAAAGATTTGAACTATTACCTATATATAATATAATTAATGAATTAATTAATGGAAAATCAAAGATAATGATAAAAGATAAAAATATAATCTTTTTATTACAATACAAAATTTACAGATTTATGGGTCTTTAAACGATTTTATTATTTTCTATGACTGATTGTAGAGCAATTGCGTTTGTAAAGCTATGGCACGATTGTTTCTGACTCTGAACCTTTGTCTGAGATCAAAGAGAAGTGATTTCTAATAAATAATGCATAATATCGGAAAGCGGTAGAAATAATACCCTTCGTTACATGCATATAGAAGAGCACATAATGCTTTTGAAACGTAAAGCCTCTAATTGCTTTGTTTTCCAGTCGAGATGTCGAAGCTATCCGAAATAATTAGAAGGGCAGTAGAGTAGATTGTATTGATTTCGTCGTACTTTGACAGAGGAGGGCGAGTCGTATTTAATGACAAGAGCACTCTACTTAGAGTATCCTGTGCCAAGAGTACCCGTCATGTAATACGAAAAGAATGTCTAAATAAGCAAATTTTAAATTTATTAACAGATATTATTAACATTATTAACGAAAAATATTATTGATATTTTTTTCGAAAAATTTTCTAGGCAAACAATTTTTCCTTTTTATTTAATAAATTGCCTTATAAACAGTAATTTAAAAAAGTTTTCTTTTTGTTTGACGATCGGAGTTTGAATGATTATCTCTTCGATTAATCTTCGATGTTTTTCTTACGATACGGTACAATTTAGGTATGAAAATCACTATGATATGACTCAGCGCTCCGTCGCTGTCAAAGAACGAGCAAAGTTCGTTCTTTGACAGCGTTCTTCGCGCGCCTCGTTTCGGATTCATAATCGGTCTGCGTCATCGCGTAATCATCATCGGACGTACGTAGTGACACGACGTACACTTCGCACGTTCTCCTCTACGGTGCTTTCACCGCAAAGTGCGAGCTATTGCATCGTGTGGGCGGTATAAAGGCAGTCGGCGCGTAACTCACGCCGGACGGGACAAAACCCGGGCGTCGATATCGAGACTTCTCGCTTCGCACACACTTCGCGATACTGCGAAATTCCTGTACGCACGATTTCTTTTTAATCCCCTCGCACGCGGTGCTGTCCGTTCGCAATCACGTGGCGTACACGCGGTTGACGCGAAGTCAGCGGCAAGTCAGAGTCGGGTCGCGATGAAGTCCCGGGGCGAGGATGCATGCGGCATCGATACAGCTATTTGCTAAGTTATCGTACGGACGGACGGATGAGATTTCAGTTTGCAAAATCTCCACTAGACGTGTGCCCCTAAGGCGAATATTTCCTCGCTCGTTTCTTCCATCCCTCAAGATATCCTGACTGGCTATATTCCATGTGCAAAACGAGTTTAGTTGCATTGAACATTGCACTTCACTCGTAGCTCGTAGAAACTTCTTAGTATACATACTGAAAATTTATAAATCAATTTATATTCATTTATCTATCTATTTAATAATAATTTTGCGCCACACTATAAGATTCTAAACAATGAGACTCTTAGGCAAGAGCGTCAGTGTTCCGCTTAGACTTCGAGAAAAATAAATTTTAAAATTTTTAAGAAAACATTATGTAGGTCGCCTGTAGTATCTTCATTTTCATAAGACGGTCGGTGGATAAAGCTTGCGATACCCATCAACTAGTATCCGATACAGAAAGGCTCTGACTACATATATATAATCGTATTAGCATTTCTGCTGAAATCCATGAGCAGATTTAACACGATTGCGATAATCGTTTACGCATTGCAAAATTATCCATTCCTCTAGAACTAATCGTTAATGAAGTTTAACGAGTGACTGTATTCAGAATTCATCTATATTATGAATACTTTAAGAATTCTTTATAATCCGCGCAGCAATTAGAATAAACATGGAAATAATGTTGTGGAAGAAAAAAAAACTGATTACGATTATAATAACAGTGTCTAATGCATTCGTCACTCGCCGCTATGACGAATAAGTTCTCACATTGCGATGAATGTATGAATACATGAAAATTAATCATGATATTTTTCAAATTATTTCCACGAATAACACGTGTATGACAATTATATGTTTACAATCTGCATGCAATATTTCTAAGCGTATGTCTAATAGTAGAACTACAGAAAGAGAGATATTTTTAAAAGTATTCCATTTAAAATAGAAGAAATTCTTAACGTTATTTTAAATGCTCATCTTCAGTATATTATTTATTAACGAAATAAGTAGTTTAAAATACAGTATACACGATTTTCCAATTTAATCTATTTTGAAATGATAATATAAATAGGGCGAAAGAAATCTATAAGTATACAATTAGTACAAATAGTAATTTCCATATAACATTCGCCCAAGGCGGCGCAATGCTTCCGCGATAATTACATCAAATTTGTTCTCACGAGCGCGAGACTTCAATCGCACTTTCCGCGCGCCGCACTTGGTTCCCTCGCAAAACACGCCCGGAATCCACTTATTGTATTATATATAACATCGACAATTGTCTCACGATCCGGCAAGATCTCTCAAGTGAGAAGAAACGTCATTTTGTCTTACCGATAAATAATTTTTGTTGGTAAAAAAAAAACGGAGGTAATGATCTGTGCGTTGCATAATCTCGAAGTGATGCACTGCAACAAATCGATCACATTAATGCTTGAAAGAATTATGATTACGATATAATCGTGAGAAGAGTTCGATATAGCAAGTCTGTTTGATTACATCCGTGCGAATACATTAAGCTTCGTGAAAATCAGGGCAAACAAAGCGAGGAGATATGAATATAGTCCAGCAATACGTCTCCTTTTATAACAATTGCATTACATCAATGACAGATCATTTAAAAGAAAGACAAGAGAGTTGTCCTTGTCGGCGCTCTATTCTTTTTGCAATTTTTTTATACCGATCGTCACTACGACTTTACTTGCCGGATTACTATGTAAAGCAAAATTAGCTGTTGATTGAACTTCGTATTAGTCACAAGGAAGAGAATTGAGATAATTGAAGTATGTGATAATTGTGAACTTAATAGAGAAATAATTTCTGCCAGGTGGAAGACAGAAAAATATAAAAGAATGAAGATCTTTCTTTAAACTTTTATTTTCTACAAAGTAAGTCCGGAGCGTTAAAAATACGGCACTTGTTTTACGCGCATTTTACAGACACATTTTACACCATTAATTATTATTTTAAACAAGCACTATTTTTTTGCCGTCTTTTTCTTCTGTAAATAAAAGTATCGATAAAAGAGGAGTAAAAATTTTCTAAATATGCACATCGTTACATTGATTAACTTATTTCGGCAAGCCGTAAATAAGAAGCATTCGTGTAGTAATAATCAAGAACATTTCAATGAGGCCCCCAGCTATTGTTAGCTTATTTTACATTTCACAACTTTTAGAGAAGCTGATATTGCTTCACACGCAGTTTGCGCAAATAAGAACCATCTTTAGCAGCTACACGTTAAAAAAAGTTGGCCGCCATTTATAAGCTCTCTTGTACGCGTAGTGCAAATATCCTTTGCGTATCTCGCTGTTCTCTATAACGAGAGATTTTTCAAACTACTTGCTGATCGGGTAACGAGGACTTAGTGCGCAATTTTCCCGTACGTAAGAACGAGAAATTTAATCAAGGTCGTTAAGATCCATCTTTTTGATTGATGTTCTTCAGCGCGGGTTGCATATTAACGCGAGAATCGACTCGTGCACGGGCATCAAGTATATATATACGGGGTATACCTCATCGCAATCGGCGTGTCATAATTGACGCACGTCCGTTCTATGTCTACATCTGTTCAAGAAGATGCTATGAATAGGGGCATTCAGATCGCGATCCGTGAGAATATTAAGGCAGGAGACGCGCGCCCATCCTCCGCGAATCACGACTGACCTTCGCGCGAATGATCGTGACGGCGGAATCGGCGCGCTCGGCCCGATGCGCGATAGCGGTGGACAGATATAGATTCAAAAGATCTAGATGCCTTCCACGCGGATCTCTCGCGCGCGAGCGGTGTTTGCCCCTTTTTCTCAGAATCCGGGAAATATCAAACGACACGACACGTAGAGAACTAGCACCTCAGCCGTGTCTGCGTTTGCGCCATCATCGCTTATTCATCGCACGTTTATCGATGACGAGAGAGCCCTTCCTTCGTCCATAAATCGTGATATTATAAGCCGAAGTTGTCTTGAATGTAGCTCAGCTGCAAAAGTACAAGGGGATTAGGTAGGATTGTTCGTGTTAGAGAAATCCATTTAACTGCGAACAAGGAGAAATCTAAGACGGGGAGCCTGCTCGGCGCTCAATATTAATTTTCTTAGCTCGTTAGTTTTTTTTTACGAAATTTTAAAGCTGCTTACTGTCACAAACTTTCAAATTCTATTGTTGCGTTTTATATATTTGCTATTTGTAACATGTATTTTATAATCGGTAATTGACAGATTATAAAAGAGTGACAATCTCTTTTCTCAAAATAATCTATTTCCATATACAGTTTGTTCAATAAAGAACTTATTCAACTTTAGACGATTTGTAATTAAATTTTTGTTTCCACAATCAGTCGCAATTATTTTAAAACGTTATTACGTTTTGCACGATTAATTACATGAAACAAGTATCATGACTTAGTAACGTTCGCGTCTGTTCTAACTCTGTTAACTAGGGTAACAGAATACTAAGGAAATTAGAAACTTCAAAGTGTATATTGCTAAAGTTTTGTGGTTCTGTAGTTACTCTCTTCTCTCATTTTCCTTAGATTTTATAATAATTTCTTTATGTATTAAAACGTAATTTTCGAGATAATTCTATCTTTTGTTAAACTTAAAAAGTGATGAACGAACAACGCTCCTTTAACAAGATATTTCAGTCGAATATATCTAATGTATTAACAATACAAATTCTTTCGAAAATAGCGAAGAATCGAGATCATATTGTATGCTACATTATTTACTTTAATAAGACAGTTTATTAATAATGCTTGTATAAAATGTCAACAATATTATAAATGGCATACGTGACGTTGTTCGATTAGTAGTTACAAATCACACAGGCAAGTAATGTACTGGCCGGTGCGGCGAAGTCGCTTGCTTGCCGATTTTATAATTCGATTCCGGCAAACTGCCGTAACGAGTATTCGGCGAGGATTTAGCGGAGAACTTAAGACGCGTCGATGTCACAGGTGTTTCATAGGGAAACTGCTTAGAGAAACCCAAATCTTGATTATGACGAATTGAAGTGCTGTCTTTGTTCCACCCTCGTCGTTCACTCTGCCAGTTCTTATCCCAGGATCTGTTCTCAACGTTAGATTCACGCCGATAACTCCAGAATAGCTTGTTTTCAGCGGCTATTCGGATGCGTCTTCATTGTAAAAGAATGAACAGGTACGATTAGTATAATAGAATGTGTCTATGAATAAATCTAATTAAGTATGAAGTTTAGAAAAATCAAGCAAAAATGCAAGTTAAACGTGAGCGTAGAAAAATTTAAAGTTCCATGAATATTCATAGTGAACTCTATGCTATGCACGGAGAAAGTAAAATTGCTATTGCATTTTACGTAGGCGTATATAAGAATTTACATCAGTGACAGATCAATACGACGTTTACGTATTGACGTTGCATGCATCGGATCTTTAGACGCCGTTATTTAATCGCCGCGGGTGAAAATCGAAAGCAGGGGGGGGGGAGGATTTAATTGGTTTTCTGTGCGAATGAATGAAAGTAGCGCGCCTTATTACAGTTAACCTGATTCATTTATCGCTTCGTTTTATTATGAGATAATTCAGCGGGAAATATGAAATGTTGCTGCAACGTTTTTTTTTGTGCTTGAACCGCCGGGAGATAAGGAGATGCCCGATTATGTAATCGCATGCGAATGCCGTACGGACGCACGGTATGTATTTTGAACAATTCGTTACGTAATGCGTGCTCACCTATCAGCTTCCTCCATTGCTTTTGCAACCGCCTCGTTAATGGAGTAGAAACTTTGCGCGCGGGAGCAATCCACGGTGTACCACCACGTGCAGACCAGTCTCTCCTGATTGAATAACGTGCCGTTCGGACAAAGGAACGAATCCTTACGGCCGCCGCGCTGGCAGATGTGGTACGCTTGGCAGTCGGCCTCAGGGTCGGCGTAATAGCCCGGATATTTCCATTCGCACACAAATCGCGTCCACGGAACTTGGTGGAAAAGTGGATAGTCTTTCCCGGCTACACCGGGAATCCCGTCGTAGCCATTCGACCATTGATCGCGCGGATCCTCGTAACCGTATCTCCGATCGTAAGATAGCTGCTTGTTCGGACGCACATACGAATATCCTTTGTGCGCCTATGAATATATTCAGCTACAGCCTTCGTATTTTCAGAGTAAATTTTAAGAATAGATTCTTTAATTCACTGTCAATTAAATGTTTTTTTTTTTAAAGAATACCACTGATATCTTTGAACTGTAAATTAATAAGATTTGATTAATTTGTTTTTTCTTTCTTTTTAAATCAAGAATGCCAGAAATAAACAATAAAATCTTATTCTTGTATCATTTTCAGCGTAAATTTTATTTTAACAGAATTTTAATTCTCTAAATTTGACTGTTAAAGTATAATATATTTAACATTAATGAGAAAGCTGTGTGTTTTCTAACGAAATTTTTAACATCTTTGCACTACGAAAAGATTTAATACGTACTATACAGCTTGCGAGAGTGATCATTATAACAAGTCCTAACTTGAATTCTAACATGATCAAGTCTAATTTGGTAGCTTCAGCCAACAAGTCACTTCAGATTGTATTGAATCATGGAATATGGACTCGGTCTTTATATAGTTCTCAAAATGAGTTCAAGTACACGTGCAAAATTATTCTCTATTCAAAAACGGCGCATCCTTTGATCGAAGATACGAGGGCGAAGGTGATTCGTATTTCGGCAATTAAGAATTTACATAACACAAAACAAGGACTCATCCTCCTCCCAAGGCGTGCAACGGCTAACGATACAATTCCCGATTAATAATCATATCATGTTGGGAATAAAAGATAGTTCCGTCAAATCAATCATTCACGATGATTAATCTCATCCGCATCTACTCCGATCTGCATTGTTGAGTTACATCTTAATAGATTCATTCTATATCTTTACCGTTAGTTTTCTCCTCGTCGCATTTTACTTTCGCACATAAATTTATTTTATAGTGAGACTTTTTTAAGGAGGTTTTTTAATGATGTTTCCGTTTGTCGAACACGTTTCCTATTTTTTAACACTACAACGAAATCGAAATTGCGCGCGTTTATTCGTCATTGATCGACGCATGTGCTTGATGACTCAGCAACATGGCGGATATATCTTTCAGCTGTTTTGTTGATTGTATGCAGCGGTTTCGCGTAGTCTTCGTAATAATGAAAAATTATCATATTTAATGGTTTTCATTAGTTTCTTACGATGCTGAGATTATTTGTCGCGTGCGAAGTGATCATTAGCAAATATCGATTGCTGTAAATATATTTAGAAAGACGTCTATGTGATGTAACAATAGGTAGAAGTGTGCAACACGTGTTGTGTGTTCTGTGAATACTTCTGTAAAATATACTCACCGGAAAAAAATGTCTTACGTTTTAATATAACAATTCCTAGTAACATTGGCGTCGTTATTTATTACGATATCCAATTTTCTTTTGCTCACGTTCGTTCGAGCTATTATTCACCAATAGAATTTACAATTATATTGATAGATTCGAAAATGGATTCAAATGAAGGATTTTTTGATTTGTGTGTAAATGTACCGGATGGAAGAGCCGATAATTTGAATGATGTTTTATTGAAGTTATATGAAAGTAAGTTACATGAAAAAGATATGAACAAATTAATCAATGTGTACGTTATCTTATTAATTTATTTGGTATTAGTGGGTTATAGAACAGTGGCATTAAATCAAACTATAAATGAGGATGCCATGAATAGTGATAAGAAAAAGAAGGGCGAGACTAAGGTAACAAGTATAGTGCCAGATCCAATTGATGTTTCAAAACTAAATGAAAAATGGGGAGGAAGACTGAGGATTCTTAATAGGCTAACCTTTATTTGTTCAAGTTCTACAAAAGCACACACATTGGTGCAGTTTTATATTATAAAATTTATATTGAAACCATTTATTTTGAAAGCAGAGTAACTCACATTTTAACATATTTAGTTTAAACGAGATATCAATGTATTGAAGTACATTTCTAATATATCTATAATGTATCAATTAAAAACAAGCATTTCGAAATTATTTTACGTGATTTTCATAAGCTGAATAAAAGCTATAGTTACATGATTTTCAAAATAGAAGGTTCTTTTATATTAGTTCTTATATATAGTAATATTTAATTGAATATAATTCTGTTATTACAGGCACAATGTCCAAATTTGAAAAAATATGATATATATGCTCTTGTTCCAACCAAGCAAGATATATTGGAGGTTGGTTATACATTGAACTTTTTTTATATTGCAATTACAATATTCAATCTTTGCAATTTTTGTGTCACATTCTACTTTCTTATTTTCTTTTTTTTAGTTTGCTTGTTCACAATTAAAAGCAGATCTCATTACGATAAGTCCAACAATTTCTGGCATAAAAATAAATCGAAAAGTATATCGGCAGGCAATAGCAAGAGATTTGTATTTTGAAATACGATATGTAGATCTTTTGAGACAAGAAACACGCGTAGCAACTCTTCATCATTCTTATCAACTACAAATGTGTCGCATAAGCATGGTAAGTATGTAATATCTGTGTATTGCATACGTATTGATATTAGATTTTCATTGCAAGTTAATTTTACTGATAACTGCTGGGATAAATATGATAATGTTATGATATAGCATATATGTTATAATACAATTTTAAATACGCTTATTTTATTTATAAGACGGTCTGTTTCTATGTTATAGAATGTAATTATATCCAGTGGTGCAAACAGCAAGCATTTAATCAGGAGTCCTTATGATATTATAAACCTGTATCCTTTGATCTAATGTATAATGTCATAGAACTTTATGTAAAACATAGACAAAATTGTATGCTTAAAAGTATTGCATAGACTATATTATCCATAATTATTAAATGCATAGTGGATCTGTGTTAGGCTTGAGACGAGATAGAGCGAAAGCAGTTATATTAAACGAATGTCAACTTTTTCTTTTAAAAGCAAGTAAGTCATCATTATAAAATTAAATCCACATTTTACGCGACAGACTAAGTGAAAAAAAATTATGGTTTTATTTCAGAAAAGCGAATATTGGGCAAGTCGGTGTTTACGATAGAATTTGCAGAAAAATCGGAAGTAGATGATGACGAAGAAATGGAAATAAAGCGGGGAAAAGAATAAATCTCTAAATTAACTGCAAAAATAAATTTTTATACTGTATTTAATAAAGAAATTTTTATTATAACACTTTTTACATGTAAATAAAACATGTTACTTTTTAAAAATAAATTTATTATATTTATGTAAATATATTTACTTTCAAATTTCTATTTTTTTAAATGATCGCTCAACAATAGCATTTAGGCATATCAATTTTGCTTTTGCTCAGTATATTCGATCTTAGAACTGCATAAAATTTACCTGGAAGAGCCATCTGTTAGTCTGTTCTGTACCTTTCTTGTAATATATTGTTACATGCATGCTTATTCCGTTGCTTAGTAATGATAGAATATTAACGATATTATTACAATTAATATTAGCGATATTAAAACATTTGGTTTTGATTTATATATTACGATTTCTCTTTTTTAAATAAAAAATTACTTTGATTATGTATAGTAATTATCTAATATATCTTCCAGTATACTACTCTGTTACCGAGAATCGATATTATAGTAAAATACTGTTGGATCAGAGAGGCAGTATTATTTTAACAATATTATTCTACATATGAACTATTTGCTTATTAAAAACAGTGCGGAATAAAAATAATGATTTTTTTATAAATACATAAAAATTATTCTCGATAAGAAATTAAATGATCAATCGACAGCTGATACATCAGCTACGTTCATCCCGATTAGATAAACGACTATCACTATGAGTTCAAAAAAAAGTATATATAAGGATTTTTTAATTAACAATTATCTTAACTTTATTACATTTAATGTGATGCATTTCGGTTGCAATATATATTATTACAACGGCGTTATGGCCTTAGTCAAGTAAATAATTATTTTGTATAAAGTTCAGTATAATATAACATTAATGCGAAGTTAATGTATTGAAGTAATATAATTTGACGTGTGAATACGAAGAACGTAACCAATTGCATATAAGTTTAAATGATTCACGATAAATATCACGGACAATAACATTGCAACACCGATAACATGACAGATTCTGTCGTTTAATAGAAGCTGCTAACGTCGACTCGGAGACGGCGGAGGATTCAGTTTTGATTTAAAAATCAAAACGGATCATGCGCCCGACGGCCACGCGTTCAAATCGATCGTCCGTACATCATCTCAAGTCATCCCCGATCCCAAGCCCATCGACAACGTCGTCCGTTTATCATCATCATCAGCAGCAGCAGCAGCAACAACAACAAATTCTGTATGCTCCCGTCAGTAACCCAATGGTGACTCTCCAACCGTGTGGAACAGCGCTTCATCCTTCGTGTGTTTATCCGAGCGTTCAGTCTCACGTTGTTTCACCGAGTTCCGCCCATTTACATCTTCAAGGTCCGAAAGTTAGATTGTTCGAATTAATCTTATAAATCAATCTCTTCCTTCCTTTTTTCATTCTTTCTCTCGGTCCTGTTTCAAAACAGTTTCTCAGTGATGAAATGACATTGAAAGCGATACAAAAAAAAATCACATAATAACGATCATAATCATCGTTACATAAATCTAAAATGTAATTACGTTAATCGAGAATGACAATTAAAATATTCCACGCGGACGCAGGTAAGAATAATCGATGGCACGTCAAGAACAAGCCGTCCCGCGGTCAGCAATACTATCAACAGCAGCAACAGCAACTCTCGTACAACCCAAAACCCGTGGTACTCTTCGACCAACCGTCCACCAACGTTACATCGATCCCCCCGTCAACCACATCCTTCTTAGTAGCCTCATCCACGTTTACTCACGCTGGACCGTTGCACGGCGAGCATTACAGTAACAATTCCGGAGTGACGCATCTGTTACCGCAGCCCCTCAATTTCAAGCCGCCGGATGTGCAGACTCTCTGCCTTATTCAAGACCGACAGAACATCCAGCAACAGCATCAGCAGCAGCAGCAGCAGCAGCAGCAGCAACATCCGCAGATGCAGAGTTCGTACTACAACATCTCGGCCACAAATACTTGCAGCCTGCAAACCGTCAACGCCAACTCGTCCTTTCCGCTTGCCAGCCTAGCTAGCTTCAACAACAGTCAATTCCCAGTAACGGTGCAGTCCTCTCCACTCTTCTCGAATCCGCCCGTTGGCTTAGTGCTTGCACCACCGCGAGGAGACAAGCCTTCGTTAGATTTCACTTCGCTCAAGCATAACGCGGACAAGATATCGAGCGCTTGCGAGTCTCAGGTCCTTCCAATCGGTCACAGCGAGAACGGCTGGCCTGCCCAGATCGAGACGTTCGCCAAAAACGACGCGCAAACCAACGTCGCAGGAAACAGTAGGAGCCTCGAGTCTGCCGAGCGCGCTTTGCAGAAGTCTCTTTCGGTCGTCGCGAAAACGGACGAGGAGCATTACTCTGACGAATCCTCGGCCAGCTTTGACTTTACCATCGAGGCCGAGAAGATGGTCTCCGCTCTGTGTAACACCACGTCGTCGAACGATTTGGGCAAGGAGGAATCGAAGCCCGGCAACAAGGCTGATTCCACGACGTTGTTCAGCGGCGCGGGCGACAATGTGTCGAACAAGGCGAGCTGGTTCATCGATTTCTGCTCCGAGTACGAGAACAGAGCGTCGATAGGCGTTCAAACGGACGGTCCGTGTGCCGATAGATCGCAGTATCCGGAGTTGATTCGAAAGACAGCTTACTGGGGATGCACGCAGGCTGAGAGCGTTCTCGATTTCGACGGTTCGCAAACGGACTCTAAACGGAACTGGTTGACGTGTCTGTCGTCCGCTACCAGGACGGCGATTACAAAATCCTCGACTTGCATCCCGGTCTTCGCGGGCGACCGCGTCTTCGCCGACGATCTCGTGAACGCTCTCCTGCGCATCAGCAACGGATGGCTGAGTCTCGATAACTATCTGAACAAGCAACATTTTCCCAACTTATTGGACAGACTGGATCCCGAGTTGATCGCGCGCTTCCAGACGTGGGAAGAGAGCACGTGCGAATTGCTGAAGCAAATAGTGCGGACCTTCCAGAAGTTCGGAGAAAACAAGGAGGTGACGGATCAGAAACGCAACGCGACGTCGTCGTTCCCAGGCGACGTGTCGCTTTACACGACCTACGATCTCTTCGTTCCGCTGCCTTCGAACTCTTTTTCTGAACAAAGTGCGACTGGAAAAAACTCTTCGCTGGAGAAACCGCGCAGCGAGACGTCGGCGTCGCTACCGACGAGCGGTCTGCATAATTTTCAATACAATTCCAGCTGTCAGCAGGACCAACAATCGACGAATTCGAAAGAGAGCAAATTGCGGAGCAAGTGGACGATTACCGAGAATTTGTCGTCCGTGATTAACACCACGAAGTCCGTGCCGAATGTCTCCGTGTCTCGCACCATCGACGTCGGTGGTCTGGCAAGTCATAAACTTCGCACGAAAGACACGCCGTTCAAGAAATTCGATTTCACTCAGAAATCGTTGAACGCCGAATTCTGCCAGCTGAGAAACAAAGTGATGGAAAGCAGCGGAGACGTGACGAAGGATAGAAGGCACGATCACACGGATGATAAGCTTACGTTGCTCGATAACGCCGAGTCCGTTCGGCTGCAGCATCCAGCGGTGAACGCACCTATGAGCTACAGCGGACTGTATGCGCGGAACTGTTTATCCTTCACGTTTCCTTTACCCGGCCACTCGGACTCTTCGTATCCCACATCCGGTCCGGGAGTCCCAGTATACAGCGTCAGTTATCCCTCTTCGGGATCCTATCCTAGTACCGATATCAATTCGAGAAGCGGCAGGAACAACGAACAAATTTACGGAGCTAAAAGCGCGAACATCAATCCGGTTTACGTCGGCAGATCGCAAACTGATCAACTGGAACTCCCGGCTGTGCCTAGAAATAAGATGACCCTGCTCAGTCAGATCGAGCCGCGGACGTTCGACAAGGAGTCCGAGGAAATGGCGGCCAATTTGTCGGCCTGGTTCGCCAGCATGCGAAACTCGCAGCCCCCGGCGGTCGCGTCGACTTTCGAGGAGCCGAGGACGAGCGAGAACTCGGCGCCGCGACTGTTCGTTCAGGAGATGCCGAAGTACTCGATGATCATAGCCAAGCAACCGCAGATCGACGCAAATCGGCAGTTCCAGGCGTTGCAGAATCTGCCGAATATCCAGAGCACACCCTGGGCCGCCGGCAGCTTCGCCGGCAATCGTTACCACGTGCAACACGCGCCCGAAGAGTACGACAGCTCCGAGGACGTGCGGGTGTACATGAAACCGGGCAGCTACAACGTGCCGAAGAAGAGACATCAGAGACGACTCAATCGTCGATCGAGCAACAGCACGACGTCTCGCAACGTACACGCGAGCGGTCGTCACAGCGTGTGCGATAATAACGGGAAAGGCGTATCGATACCGGCGTCATCGACGCCTCTGTCTCACACGAACGCGACGACCTTGTCCACCAACGTCACCAATGCCACGCTGATTAAGACCTCGTTTCCGCCAGCCTCGCAGTTGCCCGTGCCTCTGTTCAACCTCGAGAGCTCACCTAGGATCCTGAAACGCACGGAATCTCTGTCGCAGGACGCTCGTCAGGACGTCACCTGGAAGGCGGCGTGCGCCTCGGCTGAGATACTTCTCGAGGCCCTTAACGTGAAAGACTGCGGTAACACGTTCAAGAACGTCGAGTGCAACGACAGTAGCAGCGAGAAGGAAGACAAGAACGAAGAACATGCTGAGGCGTTAGCAATCACGTCGCAGCAGAGCGACCTGAAGCACGATAACGTCGACTGCGCGTCTTCCTACGAAGCCTCGGAGGATGACTCGGGGTCCACGTGCAGATTATCGCCCAGCACGAGCGTAGTATCGGTGTCCCAGTCGCGCGAGGATGAGAATTGTAAAGAACTTTATGTATTATATATATTTTTATTATATACCTTTTAGATAAGGAACTGATTAATTTTATTAGAGCAGCAATGTTGCAAAGTTAGATTGAAATAATAAATTTTCTCGCGAAGATCTCACGCGTATTTCGTTACTACTCGGATTATCGAAACTACTTAAAAATATGTCTCGCGATCTTTTTGCAGGTGGTACCTAGTAATAAGCAAAACAATCCTTTTCTAAAAAGCATGTTCAATAGCTCTCGGCATCAAGACCAACGTGAAAACGGATTCCTGGCTGATCAGGACACTCAGTAACGCGAGTACCGTCGGCAAGCAGAAGCGACGTAAGGACGACGTGGATCAACGTAGTTCGGGGTCCTCGAACAGCTCGGGAATTGACGTGAAACCGGATCAGCTCGTGTCGCCGTTAACCGCGAATTTAGATATAAAGACGCGCGCGACGATCGTCGACAGCGAATACCCAGCGATCTTCTCTCGCGAGCACGTTTCCGGTTCTTTCGCGAAGAGCGACGATACGCCGACGAAAGAATTGGAAAGCCACGTCGGTAGAGCCACGTATTCCGAAACGGTGCGAAGATCCATGAAAACGAGCAGCCTACACCTGGAAAAGAAAGAGCCGCTCAAGTCGTGCGCGACCGACTCGTCGGTGACCACCGTAATACCGATTCCTGGCCGCAAGTGCCAGAGGAAAGACCCCGAGCAATCCTATCAACTTCTACACAAGTCACGAAGATCGGCCGACAAGAAAACGGTGAAAAATGCGGACGATCTCCAATCGGAGGAGGGATCGTGCAGGAAAGTCGGCGCTGTCAAGGTGAACAATATAACGCCGAAATTGTCAACTACCACGAAAACGAGCCACGGCAAGAAGAAGGACTTGGAACACTTGGAAGGCAAGTGCGCCAGTAAATCGGGCGATCAGCGCGGCTGGTCGGTGTGGTGCGGCTCCAGGAGAAAACAGAGCCTCAACTCTCTGGCGTTCAACAAGCTGGAGATGATTCATCGTACTATCTGGCAGATGAACGAGGCGAGAATCATCAAATACGCACCCTCGTACGATAATAAGGACGGCCAGTCTTCGTCCACATTAATAGTTAGTTAAAAAAAAAAAAAAAGAAAAGTAGCAATACGGAAATGTACATGATTTGATGTAAATATCCTTTTCAATTTTCAGATGGAAGATTACTGCAAGGTCGTCAAGAGCCCGATGTTTCTCGAGATCATCGAGTATAAGCTGAAGAATCGGATTTACCATAAAGTCGAACACGCCGTAAAAGATTTCCGTCGCATTATTAACAACGCGAGATTATATCATCAGGTTTGCGACGCTTTTTCCTTTTTTTTTTGTTCCATTTATTTATTTAATTATCATAAAAGAATCGCACGGTAAAAATTAATACGATAAATCGCTGCACGAAATATTACATCAAGTAATTTCATTTAATTTCACTTTAATCTCATTTAATTTCGAAAAGTAATTCAAAGTAATTCTGAACGTCTTAAAAAAAAAAAGCAGAAATTTAATCTCGAAAAGCTGATTTCTGTCAGTTCTGTTTAATTTGCGTAGATTTTAATTACAGTTTCAGAAAACGAATTTTTTTTCTTCTCGTAGCACGACAACGAGCGAACGAGGAAGATTGAGGTGCTCTCGAAGAAATTGGAGGATTTACTCGAGGAACATTTCGGCAATTTGGACTTTGACAATATTACCGGCAGTCCGAGAGATGACTCGTTAACGCAGCTGCGGCTCAAGACATCCGGATAGAAATCGATCGCGGGACGCTACGATAGCACGAGGAAAAGTATTTCCCACATCGATCATCGCGGAGGATTCTTCGCTCTACTGACCGTCGCTTCTCGTCGAAACAAAAAAACTCCAAATCAAACTATTGCAACGGAACTAACTAGCGAGATTAACATTCTTTACAGGATATTGTACGTGTAATAATGTCTTCTAGTCACGAGATGATTTTCTACTGGTTAATGATGTCGTAGGTGGTTTCTTTCTTTCATTCTCGCAAAAAAAATCGGTATCGCTGTCCGATAACATAAACCGCTTGTTGAATTTTTTTTTTCTGTCTCCGGATGATTATATTAAACTCTATGAAAAATGCGCGTGTGTGCTCCGTCTGCTGCAGCAATTTCCCAATTTCATAGCGATATCTTAGTGAGAAAAGAAAAACTGTATTAAACGCGATCATCGGACAATATATCGAATTTATTTTTGTATGAAAAGGAAAGTAATATGCGCGATATATAGCGAAGTATCGACGATATAATGTAATTTCCACGTTCATTGTTATGGCTATTACTTAATGAAACAATTTGATCTTTTAACTTCGATGCTCCTCGTCGAGGTATCGTTAGATCAGAGTGATATCAATCGTGAAATATATTACGTTGACCAATCTAAATACTACTGTTTCGTTTCTAACAATAGGTCTTATAGCTGTTTGCGGCCTAGCGCGTAAGTAAAATGAATGTAAAAATTGAAAGTATTATACTGCAGATTTTATTTCACGAAGCCCGACACGCGCTGTCTCGAGATGTCGTGGAGATTCAAAGAACGAAGCTGAAAACGCAATTAAGATACGGAACTGAAATTTATAACTTATAATATATATTATAAATGCGGAGTTAAAATTGCGTATTATATGAAGTATAACTATAGGAAGTTGAAATACATATTATTACGCACGGAGCTGTTAGTTTATAATATATATTATAAATATATATGTATCGTAAATCCCCGACGTTGCTGCGCACGCATCGTCGCTCAGAAGTTGACACTTTAACTGGCGGGGCGAGTTAGTCGACACGGATTATGGTAATATTGGTAATGTCAAACATCGCGCCAGTCAGTCAGCCAGCCAGTCAGCCGGAGACAGCGATAATCACGCGAACGGGCTTGCGGCCAGCGAGAACGACGATTTCTCGCGTTCCTTCCCCGCGGAGGGCCGCCGCCGCCGCGAGAAAGAGATGCGGAGACCGCTGCCGGAGAGCGCCGTGAAGCAGAGCGTGAAGCAGATTCGCGAGTGAAGTGCCGCGTGCGAGGTATAGGAGAGCGCGGCGCCCTGCTCCGAGACGACGCGTCGGCAGCCGGGACGGACGAGGCAGCCCGGGGGACGAGCACCGCTCTCTCGGCACCGCGCGGACGCGCCAGACCGCAGTCAAGATGGACTGGGAGCTGCTGACGATGGCGAGTCTGCACCTGACCGCGACCGAGCACCGCTACTACGGCGACATATTCATCTACTGCTGCGAGAACGCGGACGGTGACAGCGTGTCCGTGATCAAAGTCGCCGAGCTGTTGCGCTCGGCCAATCTGCCGCGGGACGTCACGATGAAGGTGAGCTGCTCGGTGGCGCGGTGAAAGTGACGACCTGACGTTTTCCCCGCCGTCGGCACCGCGCCGCGAACAGAGTTCTCGTCTCGGTGGGTCCGAGAGCTTCTCGCTTCGATATGACATACGTGTGTATCGGGACAGATGTGTGTATATACGAGACGTCGCAGTCCGCGTGGAGGTTATGTAGCAACTGACAAGCCGATTACAATTCGTCGATGGAAAAATATATCGAGCCGCTTCTCTATCGCTTCTCATGACAATCTCTAGCTTTGCGAGGATCCTTACGTTTTTCTTGCGGCGTTACGTTATTTTTAGCGAAAAGCACGAGACTGCTATTAGTTGCCATTAGATTTGACAGTTGTCACAATATTTTAGAGAAAGTAAGATAAAGCTGGAGCATTCTGTAGAAACTTGATTACATATATATATATACATTTGTTAACGCATATAAATAGTAAATGTTTATCCCTTTTCTGCATATAGATATTGGACATCTGCATGGGAGCCAAAGGCAACACGCATTTGGGCAAGAAGCAATTCTATGCAGTGCTGAAGCTCATCGCGGTCCACCAGGCCGGTCTGGAGATCACCAGAGACATGATAACCGCGTCGTTGGACGTTATTACCTTGCCAAGATTCACGTGGCCGACCCCCGGCGACGAGGACGGCAGAAGGAGTCCCGACATAACCAGAGGCGCAAAGGGTCGGCATCACGCTCCCGAGAGCACTACCGAGAGCGAGAGCGAAGCGGAGTCCCCGCGCGAGACTGGCGGCAGCACAGATTCCCCTACACCGACGAACAGCGTGACTCAGGAGAGAAATGACGGTATGCTGGGTGGTGAGACAATCCTGGATTCCGTTTCCGGTGGCTGGCAAGGCTTGCTGGTTTCCGAAGAGCAGAGACAGCTTCTGGGCACCGAGGAGGAGAGCTCCGAGCGTCACAGCAGCGACGAGGGCGACGGGGAGGGTGACGGTACGGGCTTCCCGCCGGAGGAAGTGTGGATTATCAGCGACGAGCAGCGCGATTACTACGCCGCGCAATTCGCGCAGCTGCAGTCCGATCCGGAGGGCCTTCTGGCCGGGCCCGTGGCCAGAACGTTCTTCGAGAAGTCGCGGCTTCCCGTTTCCGAGTTGCGGCGCATCTGGCAGCTCGCGGATGTCACGAGGGACGGGGCGCTCAGTTTACAGGAATTCTACGTGGCTATGCATCTCGTCGTGCTGAGGAGGAATCACGTGCCTCTGCCCGACGTTCTACCTCCGTCCTTGTCGATCCCGTTAGTCATGCAAACAGCAACAACTGCCGCGCCGCCGCAAATCCCACCGGCGACAACCGCTCAAAAATCACCACCCAACTCCGCGAACGCCCGCGAGAAGAACAAGGAGTGGACGAAGTTCGTGGACTCGCCGACCGGAGCGAGCAGCTCCTCGGTCACCAGCCCGGGGTTGCAGCTGGTGAATTTCGACTTCCAAAAGTCAGCCGTCGAACGCGACCCGAAGATCCTGCACCCGGTGCCGTTGCGCTTAACGCCCGAGGCGGCGATTCTCGCCTCGGGCGCCAACGGCAGCAGCAGCAGCTGCACAACCCTGGGGGATGACGATCTGCAGCATTCTGCGGCGTCGTTAGTGCAACGACCTCTCGCAAAGAAACCTCCCGCGGCACCCGAAGACGCCGTTATCGTGACTCCGAAGAAGGAACCGCCGCCTCCACCGCCACCCAGACCGTACAGAACACACGCGCGCAGTTCTAGTCTCGATCTTAATAAATTAGGTACGGTACCGTTGCCGATATTTCACAATACGACACTGTGGTTACGAAACCAGAGTCTTATGCTACAAGTTTATATTTTGTTACAGGAAAAAATGGTCAAAGTTTTCTTGGGGCACCACCGCTCGTGCCACCTAGAATCTCGCCAGGAATTGTAAGTTTCTTGTATACGATTTTCTTGTATCTATTTTAAAGAAATACTTCATTCTATATGTTCTTGTAAAAAAGATATTTCAACGGAAATTATAACTTTCCGCAAATGTTTTTTTAAGACAGGGATTATAATGGTCCGTTTTTGCTGCAGACTTCGCCTCGCAAGCTGGTCGGTCAAAGGAGCGAGGGTGAGGGACAAAGAACGTTAAGCGAAAGTCAAGCTTTTGTCGCTGACTTCTCCCACTTTTCTCCCAAGAGTGAATTGCCTGAGAATACGGTTCCATCTATAGAAAACACGATATCACAATCTCAACAATTTACTGGTGTATGCGGAGCGTTTCACATTTATAGAAAACCGAGTCCAAGTAAGAAATTATCTCATTATTTAATTTCTCAACAACATTTAGCGTTTTCTCTCTACTTACGATTTGTTTTTTGTAACATACTAATTCTCATCATTTATAAGCAGAAATGCATGTTTCTTTTTTAAAGTATTAAAGATACTCCCTATATAAAGATACTGTCTTTTCGATCATATCTTTGTTTTCTGTAATATTATGTTTGACAATTGAAATGTAATCCTGACAGAACGAGACGGCGGCGAAGAAGAGAGTAAGAACGAAGCGGAGGATGAAAAGATATTGACCTTACAAGAATTAAGGGAAAAGAATGCGGAATTACGCTTAGTCTGTGAAGAACTGACACGTGAACTGGCCAGCGCGCTCCAAGAACGTATAAATCTGCGCGCAAAACTCTTGCTCTTGACTTGATGTGATTACTATTCGCTGTCATTCATTCGTTCGAAGTTACGAGGTATTATGTATCCTCAAATCATTGTAAACACATGTATTTAATACGTTATGCTAGTCTAGAATTCCTCTTTTCCCAACGAAGTATTCATTCACATTCATAACGATCAACGTAGAGACAGATGCGGCAGGGGACGCGCGATTTACAAAACAAAAAAAAAATATTACATAGATATTTTATACTTGAGGTTGAAAGAAGAGTGTCTATGAATAAATTATGAATCATGTATATACAAAACCGATTATGATCTCTATATTGATATATAACAAGCGTTTGCGAATTTGCTTTTATCAAGTTTACGAGCTATTGTTCACGTTTATATGTAAAAGTGTTGAAAAATTCACTCAGGTTTGATGCCTGTGCTATCGAATTTCCCCCTGTGATTTACTGACTTGTATATTATATGTTTTGCATCGAAACTTCCGTCTTTTCATCGCCACGAATTTATATATACATATATATACATTTCCATAAGCATGCCGCACGCATATACGAGTGCATCTGTCACATATTGTTATTCCATCTCAGTGCAGATAATTTGAAACTTCTAATTGTGATTTCTATGCGTGAAGATTTGTTAACTTTATGAGAATTATATATTTCATATTCCTCGTGATGAATCTCCTCTACAGAGCTTTGTTCGCCGTAAACGGAACCATATCTATTTTGAGCTTTGAATTGTACTATAAAGAACGAATAAGTATTTATTGTTTGCAACAAAATCGAATTGTATTTTGAATTGAATTTTCATACGACTATGTGAAACGCTTACGTAAAGATGAGCGTCAACGGAGAAATGGGATAATCAGGACTGTTATGAAGTTATACTTTATTCCGTGATAACAAGTACCTACGAAAAATACCTGTTAAACGTTGAAGAAAAATATATGCGAGAAAAATGGAATCTGCAGGAACAGAATACTTCAAAAAATAAATTTATATAGATGTATAATGTTCAGAATCAATTCACGTTGAATACGTCGATTTTGGTGTGGCAATTCTTTGAAACGATTATATCGATTCCTATTGTAGTTTTAAAGAAATAGATGCTATAGTCGGTGCAAACCATTGCCTGAGAAGAATATAGATCTATCAAAGCCACATCCGCAACAAAAATCGAGTTATTACAATAATCGTCATTCTTCCCAGTTAGTTATTTTTTTAATAGCAGATATTTTTAATAGTAGCGATATTACTCAATAGACATAGAATTGCTTTATAGAAAAATTACTATTATTTAAATAAAATTTTCAAACTTCGTGCTTCTCTACAATTCGCGATTAAACTCTCGACTAAAATTCAATCTCCGTGGCTCAGCTCTATATAAATCTCAGCGCTTTATTTATAAAAATTGCCATTTTTATTCAATCAAATATATATTAATTCGTGATTAACTTTATCACATTTTCAAAATTTTACCTTGTTTACAAGTAGCAGGTAAATAAATTTGCCAAGCGACCGTTGTTACTAATAACTCTTTGTGCCATATAACGCGAAATTTTGAAATATACATATATAGTCGTCGACAATGTAATCGACAGTATCGTCTTGTCGAATATCACGAGATTACTTAGAAGTAAAAGCTTGGAAAATCAACGAGTCATGCAACAAAGATTTTTTGTAATTATAGGTATTGTGTAAAAATTATAGAAAATTAATACTTATATCAGAATTATCTCTGATTTATTATCTGCAGTCCTGTAAAAAAAAAGCAATGTAACGATGTAGAATATACATATACAGAAGTGTCTGTCAAGTATGAATAAAGAAACTACTTTAGTTTCATAACAATTTTTATTGATGTCATTGTGTGAATGGAAAAATAATGTTGATTATGCAGAAGAAAAAAAAAAATTAGAAATACTTGTAATATATCTCTTGAATATGAATGCATGAATGCATGAAAGTTTGAGTATTGCAATTACAATTGCAATTCTATACAAGTACAATAAAATCGCCCCCCTTGTGGCGATGCACTGTGACGAAATTCGATTGAATAAAACCGCGATCGATAATAAATTTAGTGAAACAAACTCGAACTATAGTCCTATTGTCATACACTTCTGATTTTACGTAATGCTTACACTGCAATACTGCAGGATCTACTGCAGGCATAATATTCAAGTTATATGAATATTCATTTACACGTTTGTTTTATTGACAAATTGGCTGTAATAGTAACAAGATAAATATGCAGATTTTTTTAGATATGAACACTAGAGCCTGTCTTATTTTGTATTTCAATCAGAGCGACGAATAGACATCACTTTATCTACAATTCTATTAACTGTGCGAGAAAGAATGTACGCTCTAACATCTTTTTGGCTTTATATTCCAAATAGATCCTTGCTAAAAGTTAGTAATGGCGCCAATTAATACAGTGTGTTTCTTACAGCAGCTTTTTTTTTACAATGATATGCTCCACACAGTGACTTCGCGGTACGGCGAGGCCGGAGCTAGGAGGACACGGGTGAACAATCGGCTTCTGCGAGACCCTTTTTTAGTTGTCCTTGCTCTGCATGAACTTGATCAGATCAATAACTCGGCTAGAGTAACCGAACTCGTTGTCGTACCACGAGATCAGCTTCACGAAGTTGTCGTTCAGAGGTATGCCAGCCTTGGCGTCGAAGATGCTGGAGTGGTTGTCGCCGATGAAATCGGACGAGACAACGTCGTCCTCGGTGTAGCTTAGAATACCCTTCAGAGGGCCGTCAGCAGCCTCCTTCACTTTGGCTTTGATAGCGTCGTAGGAGGCGGGTTTGGCGAGTCGAACCGTCAAGTCGACCACGGATACGTTGTGCACGGGTACGCGGAAGGCCATGCCGGTCAGCTTACCGTTGAGGGCGGGAATGACCTTGCCAACTGCCTTGGCAGCTCCAGTTGCAGCAGGAATAATATTCTGTGCTGCGCCACGGCCGTCACGCCACAGCTGTCACCGGAAAAGCGTAATAAACGATGTTACATAACGAGGACAATCTCGAATTATCTTTCTTGCTAAAACAGAATCGTGTATCGTGTACCACACCTTGCCAGAAGGTCCGTCGACGGTCTTCTGGGTGGCCGTAATCGCGTGTACGGTTGTCATGAGGCCCTCGACGATCTCGAAGTTGTCGTGGACCACCTTGGCGAGGGGTGCCAAGCAGTTTGTGGTGCACGAGGCGTTAGAGACGACCTTGAAGCTTGGATCGTAAGCCTCCAAGTTCACACCGACGACGAACATCGGCGCATCAGCTGACGGGGCGGAGATGATGACTTTCTTGGCGCCACCTTCCAAGTGAGTCTGCAAACGCATTATAAAAAAAAAATGTTGAACTCGGATGCAAACGAGGAAATTCCATTGAAATTCTTAAGTATGAATCTTTTTTTTTTTTTTATACATACGGATGCCTTCTCGATGGTCGTGAACACGCCGGTGGATTCGACGATGTACTCGGCGCCGGCCTTCGCCCACGGGATCGCCTTCGGTTCGCGCTCGCTGAAGACGGCGATCTTGTTTCCGTTTACGACGAGACAGTTGCCCTCGGCTCTGACCTCTCCCTTGAATTTACCGTGGGTGGAGTCATACTTGAACATGTAGACCATGTAATCGAGACCGATGAACGGGTCATTGATGGCGACGACCTGATTGGCAGAGATCCCGGATTAGTACAAAAATTGCGTGTACCCGGCTGATTTACGATAATCGCGGCTTTCTTATCGACGTATACCTGACCACCACGTTCCAGGGAAGCCCTCAGCACGAGACGGCCGATACGGCCAAATCCGTTAATTCCGATTTTGCTCATGTCGTCGTCTTGATTGCAACTGGAAAATCGAGCGAGAAAATTATAATTGGATGCTACGCAACGGCCACGCGTTTTCCGCGTGATCGCGGAAACCGGCGTAGTCGTGTGAAGCAGATGCGAGAGAGTCAATCTCATCGTTACGAATTATTGTAACAAATTATTGGACATTAGGTTAGAGAATAGATGCGCGACATATCATAATTCGTCACTTCCCCGCTATTTTCAGAATATCAATCGCGTTTCAAAGATGCTCATAAATATCACATAAATGAAAGTTGATCGCACAGACGCAACTGAAAACTACTCATATGCTTAACTGTATCGGTTCGTTTTGTTTTATATTAAATTAATCAAATTAATCAAAAACGTTATACTGTAGATAAAATGTTTCGATAATATCGTTGCTGAATTAAGACAGAATATAAAATCCATTGAAAAATCTTTCCTATATTTCATTGTTAAAGATATAATGGAGTTACAAATACGGAATTATCAGAGATTCTTGTATGGCTTATTATATAATTTCGGACGCGACGTAAACGTTATTTAGTCTTGAATTTATCGCTAAAAGCGGCGGCAACAGTCTTGGCACATGCCTCGGCGGCACGTACGATATTGGGCACCAGGGAATCTTGTAGGTCAAGGCAAGGTTGAAGGGGGGTGTGTCCCAAGTTCCTCGACATCCCCGGATGTCCTTGAAAATGATCCTGACCTCGCGTGCGTGGGATTATCGGATCGGTGGTCCGATAAAACTGACGTATGTAAATCCGCCGCGCATCGCGATGCAAAATCGTGTGTTGCAATCTGACGTAATTCGCATCGAGAGAAATCTATTTGGCCTTTCGGCAACTTCGATCGAGCTCCGATTAATTAATTAAGCTATATCTGAAGTATTTAATAAGGACAGATTACTCTATTTTTTTCTCGGCACACGAAAAGAAAGATTAGAATGATTTCCGTATAAGAATTAATCATCGATCGAGTTAATCGAAATTTAGTCGAAGTCTTCCTTACTCGACAAATGCATAGAAGATGAAAAGTATTACGTTATCTACAATTTTGCGCAATCGAATCTTTTTTTCTAACAAAAGCACAATTTATTTTTATAACTAACTAATGCTGTATTCTTATTCGTATTCGAGACCGAAATTACGATGATTTCGTATTTATTCATATATAATTAATTAAGAATAAACTGGTTTTTCTGTTAGTCTATAGATTCTTTTGTTTACAGCAACTTTTAAGATGCAAAATCGCGTTTATTACATTTAAAACAACGATTCCTAAGCTTTCGAAATATGACTAATTGATTAAATATTATATATATGACTTAATAAGATAAAGTATGAAAATAGCTGGATTTAATAAGCGGAAACTACTAAATCGCGCAAAATAAATTTTATATACAATATTTAATACAGTTTAATATAGATCAGTATTTAAATTTAGATATTATTGACGTAAAATCTTTAATCAAAATCGCGCAAAATCGATGATGCAGTACGTCTGCCGGCATGCGTCTCTTGTTACATCGCAATCAAACGCTAGTACAGCGTGTAATTGTTGAGCAAGAATTAACTACGTGAAGGCCGTTTAACGATCGCCGTCCGCGTCGTCGAAGGGTTTCCAACGAATCTCAACGCGCGAACGTCACGAATGGGCAAGGAAAACGTATCGCACCGCCCGGTCGTTACATCATCTCGACCTCGTCACGTCGCGCTTTTCGAAGCTTCTCATGCGGGAATGCAGCCGAATCGCGTTCGGCAGCTGTCTCGCGACGGCAAAGTCGGCAAATACCTACCGGTCCAACCCGTTCAACCGACGACATCGCGAGAATGGCCGGTGCGGCGTACGCCGCGGGATGGCCGGACGGCAGACGTCGCGACGGTGTTACGCGTGTAATACCGGCGAAATAATGACGATTAGCGACGAGTGACGGTGACGGTCATGCAGGAGCGGGGAAACAGAGGGAAAGAGGAAAATTGGAGTAAAACGTCAAACGTGGAAGTGATACTTACGGCGTACCGTAAAACCAGCTCCGTTCACTGCGGCTTCCAACGAAGTAGTGTCATTTGAAGGGCACGGATGGCGATAATATAAAACGGCACTCCGTGCGGCTCGTGTCCCGTCGTCGGCGCTCGGAAGCTCACGTGACCTCGTTATCGATTGCCGCCATGTTGTTGCGCGCCGCGAATTTCAACCAGACGCCGTGTGCCGGTATCAACAGAAGCTCTCAAACTCTTTCAATATTTTTGGATCTATTTCCGTGTACATAATCTATCCGTTTATCATTAACGTGACAGATATCAAGAGTTCAGGTATTGCAGGCATAAATAATGTATAATATGCAACTCATAGGCTATATATAACTTTTTTCAATAATTAATTTTATAATCTCTTTTAACCAGATTTTTCGAATATCTATGTGTTAGATTTCGAAATAAAATCTAATCATAATGTTTATTTTATATATAATTAATTACTTTACTACAATTTATTTTCATAATTTTATATCCGTGTACTTTAGTATGTTGACTATGTATTTGAATATATATGTATTTCACGTGTATTAAATATATATTATTTATTTTAAAATAAATAATTGCGTTTTAAGTAATTGAAGTTTTAAGTTTTCACGTTTATTTGCTTCTAATCATCACCATGCTCGAGAACTCGTCCAGTTACAGGAACATTATCGGAATCGGCGTTATACATATACTGAATTAAATCGGCTACACGATACGCATAACCGTATTCGTTATCATACCTGAGGGAAGAAAAATGATTTCAGGATCAAATTGGCATCAAGATATTAGCGCGCGATCGAAGAAATTGTATCTTTGACTTGTAAGTTATATTATCGGGCAGATATTAGATTATGCATATTTGGGAAGTCGTATTTGTGAATTCCGAGTTTTACGACGGCGTCGACGGCGTTATTACCAAGCGACGATCTTGATGAAAGTGCTCGTCTGCGGAATGCCCGCCTTGGCGTCGAACACGCAGGAATAGGTCGTGTGGTTGAAGTCCGACGACACGCAGTCGTCCTCCGTGTATCCCAGCACGTCTTTCAGCTGCCCCTCCGCCGCTTCCCTCATCGCCTCTTTCACTTCTTCGTACGTCGCCGGTTTATTGACCCTGAAGCGGCGTCGCAGAAGATCAAGATACGCTTCCAGTTGCACGCACAAGAATCGAACTTTTAGCATCGAACGTGGATACTTTAATTCGCGTCAAACTCCGATTGCATCAATGAAATTGTAGCAGCTGCCTCATGCGAAATCGAGCGCGATTTCTTACATTTGCACTGATGCAACCGAAACGTCGGGCACGCCGTCGCCGGATTTCACGGGTCAGTCGTCTGGCAAACTCGCGGCGAGTACGCATCCGCCAATTACCTGAATGTCATATCGCATAACGAAACGTTGGGGATCGGCACCCTGAACGCTATGGCCGAGATCTTGCCTTTCAGCTCGGGGATAATTTTGGCCAACGACTTGGCCGCGCCGGTCGCGGTCGGAATGATATTTTGGAGAGCGCCTCTACCGTCCCTCCACAATGCCGTAGGACGATACTGCGAGTATAAAATATAATTGTACAAAGAGAATGAATTATTTTTTTTATAACGATTACTTAAGGCTTCTTAAATCGTAATGCTGAGCATTTAGTTAAATAGTTACAAAAAGATAGAAATATATTTAAAAAAAGACAAAAATATTTTATCGTGCCATGTATCAGGTGTTTCACTTAATACATACAGATTAGTATGACGAGTTACCTACTCGTGCAAGCGCGTAAGGTCGTTCACAACTGCGTAGACCCCTGCGGCAGATGTGCCATTGACTGTGTGCTGCCGAAATTCCCCGCAGTTGTGAACAACCTTGCGAACCTGCACGAATAGACAACCCGTGATACTGGCCTGTATGTAGTTGAAACACCCGTGGCTTAACTGAAAATCCGTGCACACTATTATTATACATACTGAGTTTTTATTTTTCATAATGCACGAATTAAAAAATGTAAAAGAAAACCTATTTTTTAAAACAAGACAAATCTTCACTGAGGAACCTTCTCTATTGGACCGTCCACGGTATTTTGGCACGCTGTCACCGCATGTATGCTGGTTATCATCGCCTCGAGAACTTCGAAGTTGTCGTGCATGATTCTGACGATCGGCGCTGCGCAGTTTGTAGTGCAGGATGTGGCAGAAACGACACCGTCTCTCTTGGGGTTGTAACAGGTGTGATTGACCCCGAAAACGAGCATCGGCGCGTCGATCGACGGTGCAGTGATAATAACTCTTTTCGCGCCGCCATCGATGTGCAACTGCAATAATAAGCCATTTTTATTTTTGATACGCCAAATAATCTAGCTGTATGGCATCGGATGCTGCTAGAGATAGAATAGTTTAAGAGGATTCGTTTAAGTTTCAATATAATGTGACAAGTGTTAATAACTATTAAGGAAGATCAGTATTCTTTTCCAAGTTTCTGGCAAATTAATAATTCTTCACATTTAACATTAGATCCTGTTGCAATGAAAAATATAAATTTCAAATCTTACGCTTGCTTTCTCCAGAGATGTGAATGCTCCACTAGCTTCTATTACGTACATCACTCCATTATTCTTCCATGGTATTTTCCACGGTTGCTTTTCTTGCGACGTGGCGATTCTTGTTTCTTATGGAACGATAAAGAAGTTCAAGATTTTTTTTTATACAAAGTAATATTTATATCACGCTCTTAAATATTAAATCAAATAAAAAGTAAGCACACATGAAGACTGAAATTTAATTTAAAGTGTAAAAAATATTTCTCTGGCAATTACAAGAGTTACATGCTAATATTCTTTATTTTGTGTTTCATATATAGAGGACGTTGAGTTTATTAAAATCTGCAGTACTTGTAAAATAAAGATGGCAAATTAAAATAACATTTAAGGTTAAGCTTTCTGATTTAATTTTCTTAAGTGTAGCAAAACTAAAATTGTATTCACCACCACTAACTATAAACTCATTATCACACTCCAGAGGTAAAGGAAGTGGTCCGTGAGTAGAGTCGTGTTTAAAAAGATATATCATGTATTCGGTTGTAAGGTATGGATCGTTGATTAATTTTACCTGTGATATATATATATATATATATTGAATAATAAATCATTACTCAATTTTTAATCAGTAATACATTATACTTGTATTTTCATTCATATAAAATGAAACTTGCATCAATATCTTTTTCGAGGCAAGCGCGAAGACACATTCTCCCTATTCTTCCAAATCCGTTAATTCCTACAACTGCCATAATTTTATACCTGTTTTAATTTTTTAATTTTCTAACAATTCATTATTAAAGAAAAAGAAAAAAAATTTAAGAATCTGAAATGATTGACATTTTGTCAAAATGGTAAATAGTGTGAAGTTTATTATGAAACTTCTCAGAACATTATATGTCTTGAAGTTATCTAAAATAAGAATTTACTATTTATATATCTAAATACTTGAAATAAAAAAATCTAATAAGAATTATTTAGAATTCCAAATACTCTAAACAAACTTCCCTGACTCCCCTCCCTAAAATGTGAAGTGGACAGTTTTCAGGTTTGTTATGTTTATCGTTATAGAATCCAGAAGTAGTGAATTAACAATAAAATAAGTCATGTGACAAAGTGGGAAATGGATATCACATTTAAATCTGGGCATGTACGTGTATAATGCATATTTTCAAAGGTATATACATTTATATTTTTTCTATTTTTATATATTTTATATTTTTATAAAGTGTATTAATTTTTATTTTGACGTATTTCACAGTTGATTGATTGCAATATACAACTTGTTAGGGATATATTTATAAATCTAAAATAGTTTTAGCTGCAAAATAGGCAAGATTTTTTTATTACGAGAAATATCCATTTAGCTATATTTGTCCTGTAAAAATCCTTACCAATAATATTATTAATAAGAAAATGCGGAATAATCTTCTTATAATTAGAATGTAAAGCTATTGTTATACATTAGACGCATAAACGCTTTCTTAATTTTAAGTCAGTAATCTAATTATCAGTCATTTGTCATTTATTTAGCAATGAGAAAAATGTTGGTAAATAGAACTGAAGAAAATGAAACAATGATTTCGCGACCTACTTCAGTATTCAATTAATTCATCAATGTTAATCATTATTAAAATAAAAGAAGAGACTTTGTGCAGTGACATGAGAATTAACTCTATGGATTTCTACTAGGATTATATTTTATAGAAATTAGAAAAATTTATTCACAAAGTTTTTAATACTTTATCGATTAGTCACTTAATTAAAAAATTCATACACAATTATAAACATTTGTTTTGTAAATGTGCATATGTATTGTACATATATACATGTTTCACTCTGTTCTGTTCACTCTTAATTTTGACCTACCTTTATGTTATCTTTTGTTTGTCTTCTGCAGTCTTTGAATACGCTTGTTTAATTTGCCTGTATTCTTCAATTCTTCATATTACGAGACTAAATCCAAGATTTTCTTCTCAGCTGCAAAAAGCAGATAAAATAATATAATAAATATAATCATAAATCAAAATCATATTAATGATAAGACCAACTTACATTTATTCTTAAAGGCAGGCTTCTGTCCTCGTAACAAATTCCAGCAACTCTTTCTTTTCTTGCCATTTCTTTTCTTCTTGCTTTGTTTTCTTTTCCTCCCTTAACTGATTTTCAAGTCTCTGGATATTTTATTTTCTTTACAGTTTTGGGATCTGTTGTCTCTTTTAACTCTTTTTGTAAAGTTTTAAGATCATTTTCCCATAATTTATTAATAAATGCATAATAATGCCTGAAGGCCTTTTTATCAAATGTATCGCATAGACTATCAAATCTAGGATCTCTAGAAGATATAACTTTTTTGACTAGAGTCGACTCTTTATATCTGAGTTTTTTAGCAGAAACCTCCCGTGGCCTGTTCTTGTTTTCTCGTTTAAACTCTGTTTTCTCTGTCTTTTTCTTACTTCTCTTTCGAAATATGATCTCGTTGTACATCTTGGTTCCTAATTTCTCCTTTAACTTCTGCAAATCCTCAAAACTCATATTTTTCAATTCCTCCCTTGTTTTTGTTCCTAAAACATAAATAATTCAAAGTATATTGTCACACGCAGATATTTTCTCAGTAATAATAATCCTGAATAAAATTAACATAAGAAATTGAAATAAAGAAAAAAAAACTTACACAATCTTTATCTTCTGTAAGTAGGAACTCTTCCTCATCATTCATGTTGAATCTCAAGATATGATATATAACAACAAAATACAAATTTATTAATCTCTGCAACAAAATGCAAAAACATTTTTAAGATAGAATACTTCTTTGCGTACTGAGGAAAAAAAACATGAAAATTAGGAAAAATATATTCAAAAAATTTACACATACATCCGCATAAAAACTGCATTAATCAAAAACGATGTCTGAAGAATTAAATCATTTTAAAAATTCAATTTGTACTCAAAGCTACACAGAAACTGAATTGGAGGTTAAAGTGGCCGTCACTCGTCGCCGACCGCCGTGCGCCACTATCGCCGCCACTGTCGCCGACGCGACGCCTCGTCGCCAGTCGTCGCGCGCCTGGGCCCTAGATTTGATAGTCTATGCGGTACATTTGATAAAAAGGCCTTCAGGCATTATTATGCATTTATTAATAAATTATGGGAAAATGATCTTAAAACTTTACAAAAAGAGTTAAAAGAGACAACAGATCCCAAAACTCTAAAGAAAATCAAATATCCAGAGACTTGAAAATCAGTTAAGGGAGGAAAAGAAAACAAAGGAGCAAGAAGAAAAGAAATGGCAGGAAAAGGAGTTGCTGGAATTTGTTACGAGGAAAGAAGCCTGCCTTCAAGAATAAATGTAAGTTGATCTTATCATTAATATGATTTTGATTTATGATTATATTTATTATATTATTTTATTTGCTTTTTGCAGCTGAGAAGAAAGTCTTGGATTTAGTCTTGCAATATGAAGAGTTGAAGAATACAGGCAAATTAAACAAGCGTATTTAAAGACTGCAGAAGACAAACAAAAGATAACAAAAAGATAGGGCAAAATTAAGAGTGAACAGAACAGAGTGAAACATGTATATATGTACAATACATATGCACATTTACAAAACAAATGTTTGTAATTGCGTGTGAATTTTTTAATTAAGTGAATTATTGATAAAGTATTAAAAACTTTGTGAATAAATTTTCCTAATTTCTATAAAATATAATCCTAGTAGAGATCCATAGAGTTAATTCTCATCTCATTGCACAAAGTCTAAACTTCTTTTATTTTAATAATGATTAACATTGATGAATTAATTGAATACTGAAGTAGGTCGCGATATCATCATTTCATTTTCTTCAGTTCTATTTACCGACATTTTTCTTATTGCTAAATAAATGACAAATGACTGATAATTAGATTACTGACTTAAAATTAAGAAAGTGTTTATGCGTTTAATGTATAACAATAGCTCTACGTTCTAATTATAAGAAGATTATTCCGCATTTTATTATTAATAATATTATTGTTAAGGATTTTTACAGGACAAATATAGGTAAATGTTTCTCGTAATTAAAAAATCTTGCCTAATTTGCAGCTAAAACTATTTTAGATTTATAAATACATCCCTAACAAGTTGTATATTGCAATCAATCAACTGTGAAGGTCAAAATAAAAATTAATACACTTTATAAAAATATAAAATATATAAAAACAATATAAATGTATATACATTTGGAAATATGCATTATACACATACATGCCCAGATTTAAATGTGATATCCATTTCCCATTTTGTCACATGACTTATTTTATTGTTAGTTCACTACTTCTGGATTCTATATTCTATAACGATAAACATAATAACGCTGAAAACCGTCCACTTCACATTTCAGGAAGGGGAGTCAGGGAAATTTGTTTAGAGTATTTGAAATTATAAATAATGTTATTAGATTTTTTAATATTAAGTATTTAGATTTATAAACAGTTCTTATTTTAGGTAACTTCAAGACATATGATGTTCTGAGAAGTTTCGTAATAAGCTTCACACTATTTACCATTTTGACAAAATGTCAATCATTTCAGATACTTAAATTTTTTTTTCTTTTTCTTTAATAATGAATTGTTAGAAAATTAAAAAATTAAAACAGGTACAAAATTATGGCAGTTGTAGGAATTAACGGATTTGGAAGAATAGGGAGAGTGTGTCTTCGCGCTTGCTTTGAAAAAAATATTGATGCAAGTTTCATTTTATACGAATGAAAATACAAATATAATGTATTACTGATTAAAAATTGAGTAATGATTTGTTATTCAATATATATGTATATGTATATAATTGTTTCGTTATATGTATATACTATATATACGTTACGACACGTGTAACAAGAATTATATAAAAGTTATTAATTTTTCTCAAAATATATATATTATACATAAGCGATATTAGATATATTATCATTCAATATATAATGATTACAGGATCGTTTTTGTACATTTACATTTACACAATCGTATTTTTACGTGACCAATTAATCGTTATTTTATTATCGACAGTGAAAAATTTATACATGTTAATTATTTTTCAATTTTTGCAACGTGAAAATTAAAAAATACGTGTATTCGTACAGCAAATGTGAAAATCGAAAAATTACCTGTAAACTTCTCACTGTCGAATAAAATAGTGATTGTTATCTCAGTACTGCCAAAATGATTGGTAGTGTCATATATTCTTCAATTATCCCCGGGCCTACTTGACTTGACGAAAATTTACCTTTCGTCTTTTTAATAATAGGTACCTCGTCGGTGATGATACGCATAATGTATCATTTTATCCTTACTTAACTATATGGTAGTGAACATCAAGAATAAAACGATATATCATCATGTATAAAACGGAACGTATGTACTCTCTATACTATAGGTATCACACATGCATAACTGCACACATATAAAAGTACGTATAGCCACGGATAATGGAAAAGAAATACCTATATGTCAGTATATGTATGTTATTGCTTAGACATTTATTTATAAACTCAAACTTTCATATCTCTCATATATCTTTATTTATCTCATGTATCTTTCATAGTTTTCTCGAATCTCGATAGCTATTATCCGTCACATCATCCTATCTTTGGAAAATGAAAGCGCGCCGAAGTGACGCGGTCCGAGCTCCGAAAACAAATAAAGCCGCCAGGACCCCTGCGTGGCATTTATATACTCAACTTGGAAGCTAGCGCCTAGCCAATCAGAATGCTTGGATTGCGGACGCGGCACTGCATAGTGCATTGCGTAACTGACATGTATAACTGCACACATGTGAAAGTACGTAGCCACGGATAATGGAAAAGACCAAATACCTATATGTTATTGCTTAGACATTTATTTACAAACTCAAACTTTCATATCTCTTATATATCTTTATTTATCTCATGTATCTTTTATAGTTTTCTCGAATCTCGATAGCTATATTGTCTCGATTATCCGTCATATCATTCTATCTTTGGAAAATGAAAGCGCGCCGAAGTGACGCAGTCCGTGCTCCAAAAGCAAATAAAGCCGTCCGCTGCCGCTGCGCGGCGTTTATATACTCAACTTGGAAGCTAGCGCCTAGCCAATCAGAATGCGCGATGTAGGGTACTATATAAACGGCGCGTAAGCCGCCGCGCGCGACAGTCCGCATCGAGTTTGGGAGCGATGAGTAGTGTCACGTCTTGCCGTTGCGTCATCATGAAAAAGGACGCTGGACGATGTAGCTCAGTACAGCTAACGATCTCGAATTGCAGCAATAATTCATCTAAATTCATATGAATGATTCCTTCTAGGAGTAAATTTATGGTATGCTTTCAGAATTTGTTTCACATTAATATAGCGTAATTAAGATAGCGAAGCCGACGAAGCGGCGCAATTCATCCTGCGTGCGCACACGCGAAACAAGCGTGGCAACGCGTTGGCGGTGACGCTATAATATATGCGTCCTACTTTTAACTTTGTGTCTACGCATTTCTTGCACTTCGAGTAATAAATACTATATATTCCACGTTAACGTATACGTAGCACGAAATTAAGAGTAAGAATGCGAATCGGCGCCGCTGCACCGCGTCGCTTTCGACGCGTAAAGGCGCCGTGAAATTGACCGCGTCGGAAACGAATCACTTGAGTGACGCCGCAACTCCTTTTAATTGACAAGCGATAATTGCGTATCAATCTTGCATTCAATTCACATAATACAGATTCGGCACTCGCACTCTGATTCGATCGGATGCGTATTTCGCATTACTTATTAATCGTTCCACCGAAAATTGAAATGTGTAGCGTCGGCGTCGCCGCGCGCCACTGTTGCACCGACGCCGCCGCAGCGCGTACGGTGGCGCTATTGCTGCGTGAAATAGACCGCGCTGGAAACGAAACACTTGCGCTATTTTAATCGCATTCACGTTTCATTTGCAGAACGCGATGGATACGGAACGGATCGGCTCCGGAACAAGTGACGCCACAATTCACTTAATTGGTAAGTATAATATTTATTAGTAATCTCGCATTTAATTCATGTAATTCGACTCTGCAGGCTGATGAATCGATCGAACGCGTATTTTTCAATACTCGTTCGGTCGAAAATCAAGACATGTAGCGTCGCTGCGTCGCCGCCGCCGCCGCGTCACGCGGTGCCGTTGGCGCGCGAAATTGTCCTCGACGAAGCTGCTTCGCCTTTATAGCGTTAATGGAGTTTTTTTTTGTATTTTCAGAACACAACGAACATAAGATAGATCGTCTCCGTAACGAGGAGTGTCGCGGCTGATATATTTGGTAAGTGACATTTGTATTTGCATTTGTCTAACACGCAGTATAATAAAATCTGAATATCTTACAATTAATATCTGAGGTGAAAGTTAAATAATCGTGGTTTGCGATTTGGTTCGTAATTTACATTAATTGATTTTAAAATTTTTGTTGTTTAATATTTCTGCATTATCCTATTCAAGTATTCGTAATTGAGATATATAATCGCGACAATTTTGATTAGAACGCGATTAACGTAAGATTCTTTTTATTCTTTAATAACATAATTTTTTTCCTGTCTGTCGCCTTGATATTTATTCTTGATCTTGATCGAAGATTAAAAAGATGACATGCTTATCTTTGAGAAATTAAATTAAAATAAAATTTAATTTAATTTAATTTGTTCTATTAATGAATGTAATCGTTTATCTTTTTCTGATATTATTAATATACTCTTGTTAACAGATTGTAATGTTTCGTAATCGACCGTGATATTACAAACGTCTGCCGATATTGTTAATAAATCGGTAACGAAGGAGGGTGTCTCCTTTTCAGTCTCTGGCTAATAGTCAGAATGGATTTGGCCAGGAATAACAACGATCGGGTAACAACAGGAAACTAATACATGGTTAATATTTTGCGTATATAATTATTAATGATCTCTTTAGGATTATATAGAACAATTAATATTTCATAAGCTCGCATAGAAAAAAAAATATAACTACAATCGTTATCTTTCTCACAGTTTTGTTATATTTTTTAAACATTTTATTTAATAAAAAAGTAATCACTTTAAAATAATCTATTGTAATTAGCTAAATT